CTCAATCACATTAAGGCTGGTCCCAAAGATCAGTATGTCATCGACATATAAGCACAAGATCACCCCTTCTCCCCCACCATAGCGATAGTATACACATTTGTCAGCTTCGTTCACAACAAAGCCTGCAGATGTAAGCGTGGTGTCAAACTTCTCATGCCATTGCTTAGGTGCTTGCTTGAGGCCATACAAGGATTTCAATAGTTTACACACCATTCCCTCCTGACCTTCTAGTACATACCCGTCTGGTTGATCCATATAGATCTACTCCTCCAGCTCTCCGTTTAGGAAAGCTGTCTTAACGTCCATCTGATGAACGAGAAGACCATGAGAGGCTGCCAGAGCAAGTAGTACTCGAATCGTGGTCAAGCGAGCAACTGGTGAGTATGTGTCGAAGAAGTCCTCGCCTTCCTTTTGGGTATAACCCTTGGCCACAAGCCTTGCCTTGTACTTTTCGATTGTACCATCAGGCCTAAGCTTTTTCTTGAAAACCCATTTGCATCCTACGGGCTTGCACCCATATGGACGCTCAACGACTTCCCAAGTACCATTAGACATAATCGAGTCCATTTCACTGCGTACTGCTTCCTTCCAGTAGTCAGCGTCAGGAGATGAATATGCCTCTTCTATGGTTCTTGGGGTGTCATCCACGAGGTATACAATGTAGTCATCTCCAAAGGATTTTGCAACCCTTTGTCTCTTACTCTTGCGAGTATCTACAATGTTGTCCTCCTCAGGATTTTCCTCAGGCGTTTGATCATTGTGTTCTATCGGTGCAAAGTGCTCATGGGGCATGACAGTTTCTTTACTAGAAGTGATAGGTGTATATTTCATAGGAAATTCATTCTCAAAGAATGTAGCATCTCTGGACTCAAGAATTATACCAACATGCATGTCGGGTACTCCAGAGTTTACTATTAAGAATCTATAACCCACACTGTGGATAGCATAACCAAGAAACACACAATCAACAGTTTTTGGTCCAAGTTTCCGCTTTTTGGCTATAGGTACATTTACCTTGGCCAAACAGCCCCATGTTCGTAGGTATGAGAGATTTAATTTCTTCCTTTCCCATTCCTCGAATGGTGTTACTTCCTTATGCTTCATTGGAATTTTATTCAGGACATGACACGCAGTTAAAACTGCCTCACCCCACCATTCCTTGGAAAGCCCCGCAGTGTCTAACATGGCATTCACCATCTCAGTTAGAGTACGGTTCTTTCTTTCGGCCACCCCATTTGATTGGGGTGAATAGGGAGGCGTCATCTCATGAATAATTCCAAACTCTTCGCAAAAGGATGCAAACTCATTGGAAAAATACTCCCCACCTCTATCAGACCTCAACCGTTTGATTTTCCTTTCAAGTTGGTTTTCTACCTCAGCTTTATAGATTTTAAAGAAATGCAATGCCTCATCCTTTGTTTTCAATAGATACACATAGCAAAATCTAGTGCAATCATCTATCAGTGTCATGAAATATTTCTTTCCCCCTTTAGTCAACACGCCGTTCATTTCGCACAAATCGGAATGAACAAGTTCTAGAGGTGCCAAATTCCTCGCCTCAGATGCCTTGTGAGGCTTGCGAGGTTGTTTCGATTGAACACAAGTATGGCACTTGGAACCTTTTACCAAAGTGAATTTTGGAATTAAACTCATGTTAGCTAAGCGCGTCATACAACCGAAATTCACATGACAGAGTCGCGAATGCCACACATTAGACTCATCATTCTCGCTAATATGGTTCACAGCATTATGATTATTACACATGTCATTCAAAGAAAAGCGGAACAAGCCTCCGCTGTCATAACCTTTTCCAACAAAAGTCCCATATTTAGATACGACACATTTATTGGACTCAAACACAAGTCTAAAACCTTCTCTACACAATAGAGAGCCGCTAACTAGATTCTTCTTTATTGAAGGGACATGCTGCACGTTCTTCAGCTGCACGGTCTTTCCCGAAGTAAACTTCAGATCGACCGTACCAACACCATGAACAGCCGCAAGCGACCCGTTTCCCATCAACAAGGAGGAACCTCTCCCGACCTGATAAGAAGAAAATAGAGAAATGTCAGCACATACATGAATATTAGCACCAGTGTCCACCCACCAATCAGGTGAATGAAAAACAGAGAGAACTGTAGGTAATATTTTACCGTACCCCGATGTTCCTCCGCCCTCGCTAATGATCATGTTGGCAGACTTCCTGTCTTTGCGCTTAGGACAGTCCTTGGCCCAATGCCCAGACTTGCCACACACAAAGCAGTCTCCCTTTGCCTTTCCCTTGCTTTTCTTCTTAAAATTGGTTGCAGCCTTGGGTTTGACATCAGGCTTGACTTTCTTGTTGTTGTGGGATGCATGAGGGTTCTTCTTCTGTACCATATTGGCACTAGAACCTCCCTCAACCTTTTTGCCCCGGACGTCCTTTGCCCTCGCCTTCTCCTCAACACCCAAAGAGCCAATGAGATCAGGAACACTGAACTCTTGTCTCTTGTGCTTTAGAGAAGTGGCAAAGTCCGACCAAGAAGGTGGTAGTTTGGCAATAATGCCACCTGCCACAAACTTGTCCGGCAACTCACAGTTGTTGTTCTCAAGTTCCTTAGCCAGCATCTGAATCTCATGAGCTTGTTCAACTACAGAACGGTCATCGACCATCTTGTAGTCATAGAACTGCTCCATAACATACAGCTCACTGCCGGCGTCAGAAACTCCGAACTTGGCCTCAAGTGCATCCCACATGTCCTTCCCAGAAGGCATGTGCATGTACACGTCCACTATGTTGTCAGCGAGTACACTGATCAATGCTCCACGGAACAGGCAATCCGAAGCCTCGAACTTAGCCTCTTCCTCAGGAGAAAGAGGTGGTTCACTTCGTTTGCCCCGTGAAACATAGAAGCACTGCATCGCTGTCAACCACAATAGTGCACGTGCTTTCCATCTCTTATAGTTTGAACCATCAAAGGCATGTGGTTTCAGTGCAGCAGCAAAGCCAACTACCGAAAATGACCTATCAGGTTTTTGGATTGTTGGAAATTTGGTCATAATTCGGCATATTTTAATCCAAAATAACAAGATAATAAACATGATATTTACAATAGGATTTGATCCAGTGATAGTGGTGAATGTAATCAACATGAGCATGCTTAACGTTGAATAAGCATCAACAATCACATAATGACACAATGTTGACATTGCGATGAACATTAACAGTAAAACTTCTAATTGAAATAATGTAATAAGGTTATACCCCAAGAATAGTCCTCCGCTGGAGTTTGAGGCAGTATTGCCTCCGTTGGTGTTGACGGGAGTCTCCTTCTCCTTGTCTCCAGTGTTCGACATGTTGGTGAAGATGAAGTAGATGTTGACGAACAGTGAGTAGTCGCGCCTTGCGCTCCCCAAAAACCTGATCGCCCGCCCGTCTGTGCAAACGTCGCAGCAACGCGTGGTTTCGGAGGCCTACTCTCCCAACGCGTGTGCACACACTCGTCGGGATGGGATTACCGTAGCAACAACAGCTTTGGAAAATGGATGAAAGTGTGTCTTCTTTTTTTCGCGGGAGATCAAATCCATTCCCATTTTATAAGAGGAATGGAAGATGAAGAGTAAGAGTCATGGAATAGGAAGAGGAATGGAGCAACTAATTGTCATCAACTAGCCATGAACCATCCTCCACTACACAACCATCAACCAACAATCAATTAAGAGTAATTGATGTAAGTTACCAATGGAATAGGAAGAGGAATAGAGCAACTAATTGTCATCAACTAACCATGAACCATCCTCCACTACACAACCATCAACCATCCATCAATTAGGACTAATTGATATAAGTTACCAATTCCTTAATCAAATGGATTAATTCTCAAAACTCTTCATCCCATTGATATCCCATAGAAGAATGAATTCACATGAATTCCTAGCATAATGAGCATTGGAATTTATTTAATTTAATTGATTTAAATGGATTAATTACCCAATTAAATCTAACATGTACAAAGCACAAAATTTTCTTTCTTCGCGACAGTGTCAGCACGGGCGAGATTACAAGGACACGTTTGACATCTGTGACGATGCTTATTACTACTGTGACTATACTCCTACTACTAGCTGATTCTACTAGCTCACATGCCTGGTCATTTTTTTTACGCACCGTCGGTACGTTTTTTTGTTACTGTGCACGTAGGCACATAGGTGGCGAGTGTTGTGTTGTTCACTAGTACTAGATGGCACGAGACAGGTTCCCTTTGCACAGTGGAACCGGTACTAGCAAAAAAGGACAGAGAAGACGGACAGAAGAGAGAGAGGAGGTGCACCCTTCCGTTCCCTTCCCCTGCTGCTGAAAACGCTTCCTTCCCTTGTTTATAAGCAACTGCCGTTCCACGCTGCCGCCTGTCCCCGTCGTCACACTCCCATCTAGACATGTTCCACGGCACCACCTGTGACCTGTGTATGTGCACACTCCGTCAGACCAGGGAAAGCAGAGTGGTCCAGATGTTTTTTTTTTCTTAACAAAGCAAATCACGATGAAAAATACAAGATTATGACGAACACAACGCCATCACATGCTAGCAGCTCCAAATACATTCCTAGAGAAAAAAAAACTAGCACCATACCGATCACTGCTATGTGTGATCGAACGCCGCTAACCTATAATGGTCATAAACGCCTCACCCAACACAAGCGCTAAAACAGAAGATATACAGTGGGCTCCAATTATCCTCACAGAGAAAATATCTACTCGTCGCTCACGACAACCCAATAACGGTAACTGACAAAACGATGAAAACCAAACTGAGAGAAGCGCATGACAATGGAAAAACAAGATCTTGAAGATGATGCTTCAAGAAGGTCATGACGCTCTTATTTGTGTTGGTACAACCTATAAACATGTTGCGCAACATGGTCATGGATCACCAACTTCGCTATTATTATCAACGACCCTGAAGGCCTTAACACTGTTGAGCACATGTTGTATATGAACTGTTGATCATATGCATCGGACAGAATCAAGATTTCAGTACAAGAATTTCTCAAATCTCACACAGATTACCAAAATCCAGTGTCAAATTCAGGAGAATGTTTGCTCTGCTAATCTGCTATAGCATTATGCAGAGGCGGTCCTTGGAGGACCGTGTCCACGCGTGACCAGCGCGTGCGTATCCCCGCGAAACGCCTCGTCGCGTTCATATTTGCTCACGGCTCGCGCGGCACTCGCGAGAGCACCTCGGCGTTAGTACCCATCAATGCCTCCCTCCTCCTCCTCCTCCGCCACCACCACCAGCTCGCCGTCTCGTCTCCCTCCTCCGCTTCGCCTCCTCTGATCACCTCGCTCGCCGGCGACGCCGCGATCGCCACCGCACCGCAGGGCATTGTGTCGTCGAGGGGAGAGATGAGGCCTCTGTACCTGCGCAGCAGCGGCAGCTTCAAGAAGCTGCTCCTCTCCATCAGCCACCGCGGCGCCAAGAACGGCAATGGCGACGCCGCCGCCAAGGAGAGATACACGCCCGCCGCCGCCGCGGCGGCGCCGGAGTCGCCGCGGAAGCCGGCGTGGCGGTGCTTCTCCTACGAGGAGATCCACCGCGCCACGAACGCGTTCCACGAGGGCAACCTGGTGGGGAAGGGCGGGTCGTCGGAGGTGTACCGCGGCGAGCTCCCCGACGGGCGGGCCGTGGCGGTGAAGCGGCTGATGGGCGCGTGGGCGTGCGAGCGGCGGGAGCGCGACTTCCTGGCGGAGCTCGGCACGGTGGGGCACGCGCGCCACCCCAACGTGTGCGCCCTCCTCGGCTGCTGCGTCGACCGCGACCTCTACCTCGTCTTCCACTTCTCCGGCCGCGGCTCCGTCTCCGCCAACCTCCACGGTACCAGCGACACGAACGCGACACCTAACAGCAACAGCACGAACGCGCCGCCATTAATGGCGTTTTGACGTTTCTTGATTTGATTTGATTGCTGCATCGCAGACGAGAAGAAGGCGCCGGCGATGGGGTGGGCGGTGCGGCGCGCCATTGCCGTCGGCACGGCGAGGGGGCTGGAGTACCTGCACAAGGGGTGCCAGAGGAGGATCATCCACAGGGACATCAAGGCATCCAACGTGCTTCTCACCGACGACTTCCAGCCTCAGGTCAGTCTCTTCGGAGACATCCGATAAAATTGGAACGATACAACAAAGATTAGCATGGCCACTACGCAAGGATGACACGCACAAATGGAGAAATAATCCAAATTTTTTTAGGAGCTGTATTTTTCTCATGCTATATTTAATGAATAAGCACAATCTTGTGCTGGTTCCGTTCAAAAAAAAAAAGGCGCATCTCATCCACCACATTTCCATTTTTTCCTCACCTCCTCTGTTTCAATTGACATGAACTGATCGTATTATCACAGATTTCCGATTTCGGGCTCGCCAAGTGGCTGCCGTCGGAGTGGACGCACCGGGCGATCGCCCCGATCGAAGGAACATTCGGGTAAAGATTTCTGTGCTCATGGTCGAGTCGAATTCTTGCTGGGTTTGACGGTGAATTTTGGCTGAAATGACATGGTTTCTTCCAGGTGTTTGGCACCGGAGTACTACACGCATGGCATCGTCGACGAGAAGACGGACGTGTTCGCGTTCGGCGTCTTCCTCCTGGAGATCATGACCGGGAGAAAGCCGGTGGATGGCAGCCACAAGAGCTTGCTCAGCTGGGTAATTCAGCATTCGCGATCAGTATAACTACTGTTTGATCACTGAAAAATTCTGAAACTGTCACTGAATTGTGACCCTGCACTTGCAGGCGAGGCCGTTCCTGAACGAGGGGAGGATCGAGTCGCTGGTGGATCCGAGGATCGGCGGCGACTACGACGGCGAGGAGGCGCGGCGGCTGGCGTTCGTGGCGTCGCTGTGCATCCGCTCGTCGGCGAAGTGGAGGCCATCCATGACCGAGGTAACAAACATGATTGGTCACACTCTGTTCCTTGATCAGAAGGCAACGAACGCTTGCCCATTTCTCAAGTAGGATTGCTGCGATGGAACACTACATTGCTTTACCTACTTGCAAATATTTTTTTCATCAGCATGGTTAGCATTTCCATGTAAACAGTCATAATTTAGGGCAGAGATTCATGACAGGGTGCCCCCCAAGCACATGTCTCCATGTAGCAGTAACCCACAAACTACTCCTTTGATGATGTTGCTTGGTTTACGTGTAACAACACAAGTAATTTGCAACAGCACTACTAGTAATGTAGGCCATAAATTGGTTGTGGTAGCAGGTGCTGGAGCTGCTGGAAGGCGTCGAGATCCGGCAAGAACGGTGGACGATGCCCGAGGCAGTGGAGGACGACGACGACGAGGAGCTATGGAGATTCGATGACCTGGATGACGAAGATGACGAAGATGAAGAGGAGTTCAACACTGCATCCCCATCTTCTTGCTCATCATCTTTGAGCAATTAGTAGTTAGTAATAGTATCTAAGATTGTGAGTAAGCTTGTGATGTTGTTACAAGATGAAATTTTTGATAGTTACTCTCCACTGGGCCCACTTGTAAATAGAAAGGATTTTCATCTTATCATCATCCAACAGGCTATGAAAAGCAAGTAGTACCAATACCAGAGTACCAGTCCAATTGATCTTGACATGAACATCAAAAGATAGTGTACTTTCACGCATAAAATACGGGGGGGAAGTGTGTTGATGAATGTATCAATTCGGCAGCGGAATAGTAGCAAGCAAACTGAGATTTTGTCGGCCACAGGCTGACCTAAACCTTGATGATAGAGCCCCCCCCCCCCCCCCCCCTCTGAAGAAAGAGTACCAGTCAAGGCTACCTGCAACCTCAGCTGGGTTACAGGTGTATGAAGGCGACACAGCGTGGCACTAATTTATAAGGCGGGCAGTTGGGTTCGTGGCCAAGTAGGCTTTGTTTTGCTGTGCCAATTTCTCAAGGCCAGTGCAATGCCGTGGCATGGCAGTTTGGAACAGGTTGAGCTGTACCCCCTTAAAGCCAGGGTACGTGCTGGTGCTGCATCCATTTGTACGACTCTTGGACCCCATCCTGACCTAAATTGCCTGCTGCTGGATGCTCCTTCAGATATGAATCCTAATGGTTGTGGCAGTTGTTGAGGTGAATTGTGAACTTGTGAAGTGCAGCAGGTGTGTTTTTATCTTCTCTAGACTCTGGAAGTTGTTGAGCATGTCTAGGCGTGTGCCTAGAACTTAACAAGAAAAACATCCTTGAGAAAGAGAGATTTTGGTCCAAAAGCTTAAAGGTGGGAATACAATACATTGGTTTCCAAGCGTATGGTTTACTAATAATGTGCTTGTTTTTGGGCAAAGTTTGTGCGTGTTCCTTAAGTCTAATGGTACTACACTATGAACAGTTACACTCAAAACCTGAAACCTTTGTGCTTGCTTCAGTGTTGTGCCAAATGATTTGGTCTGAAATAGTTCTCTGACAGATTGAGGTGGTTTCTACACCTGTGAGAGAAGTCCCAAGAAAAGAATCCAGCAAAAAGGAGAAACCGGTGGTACATGAAAGAATTGATGCATGTAATATATCAGCTCTCAATAATTGGCCCTCAAGACTTTTAGGTATCCTAGAACCAAATACCTACATACACATGGCTTAGCTAACGCTTATCCAAGCGTGCAAGGTCTGACCAAATCTGACTCGTTGGAGAAAGAAACAAGGGCTTGGTTCCAAGAAATGAGAAGTGAGGGGTTCAGAATTAGAGCACAGTCAAACCTACCGTGGCTAGCAGATATGAGATACTCAAAAGATCAACTGATCAAACCAGAGTGGGACAGTTCCCAGTGCTTACCTAAACTAAGACAAACAGAAGGTTCAGTGAGCAACCTGGAGATGAAATGCCCTGAAAAAACCACAAGGCAAACATTCCCATTTTCCAGCAACAAAAAAAAATGCAAGGCAGGAAAAAGAATCCTATGAAAACGACAATATAAATACTTTGTAATTACCAGCAACATTTGCATGATCAGTAGGAAAACGAATCTCAGCTATCATAAGATTAACTTCAGCATGGACCTAATACATTGAAATGAGCAATTTGTCCATCTCTTTCTTGTAAGTTGTAATCACTTGCAAAGCTATAGCAACTAAATGCCTGACAAAAACTGTTGACCCAGTGGCTGACAGTCCACCAGCAAATGTTAGACAGGAATGGAAGAATGCGATGTTCAACAATACCATAAGTTTCTCTGAAATATAGCTAGAATTATTAAGATTAGCACTTAGTGGAAAAAAGTTCTCATTAACCTAATTTATTTATTAATGTATCATGGTAAAATTCCCTCACAAAGATAAATGCAAGACTACACTTTTTATAATGCATCAGCCCATTTTTCCCGTGGTATAGTTTGACGATGCTGGATTGTAGGAAGGCATCTAGACATGGTAAGGACCACACATTGATAATGCTGGCCAGTAAGGTGTAAGATGAATGTATAAATGTTTGTGACATGATTAAAGAATATTAAAGAGAGTTGTCTATCAATAGAAAGATCCAGATAAACATGTCCAGTTGGTTGCTACTCCTTCATCCTTATATCTTTCTTAATATATTATCAGAAACCACATAATGCACCACCAGAAGAAAATAAGCTGGTAAGGACGTTCCTGTGCATTTAAGAACTAGTGCCATATTGCTTTCATCTCCATAATGGTTTCAGTATGTTGAGCATCGTAACATATTTATGCATGGACAACTAAAGGAAATCTGCTGATAAGAATGCAGAAAAGAAACTACTTTCATTTCAAAAGAAAACTAAAAAGAGTTACAGGGAAAACAAGACCAAATGGACCTGACAGAAATGCATCATGTTATGTGCAGCCTTGAGATATTTCTTTACCGATGTGAGTGAAATACAGGGGAAAAATGGACACGTGATTATTCAAAACAGCAGAACCGCAACTTTATTTCAGAGTAGTAGCCTTAGATGCTTTTTTCAGGCCAAGGTTTCTCATGTAAAACGTTGTATTTTGGTTTTTCGAAATACAAAGTTGAAGTGATGCACAGCGCCAATCTTTTGCATATTCGTGGTAAAACAGGTCACGACAGAGAATCGAACAGTGTACCTAATCCAAGGGTGTTTTAGAACCATCTCAAACAAGATATTGACTTCTTTCTACACGTTTTATAGTCAATTTATCATAGCTATTGTATGTAATCTTCAGAATAAATGTAATACCGAATGATCTAGGATAAGAATAAGATGTAGGGGGTTCCAGTGCTAGTGCACGTATTAGCAAACTAGTGTTAGTTAGATGGATAAATTAAGAATCCTTGGTGCACAAACTTTAGGATAGCACGTGTACCTTTATGATCACTAGATAGCAATTAAGAAATGCACCTCAGAAAAGTACACTAAAGCTCTTATACAATGCCCAAAGAAGATAAGCATACTTTTGAGAAGACAACCTATAAAGAGTAAAGATAACTAAAACTTACAAAATGCATTGCACAATGAACAGTAAAAACAAATAGTAGTTGACCTGACATTGATAAGCAAACCCCTATCTATCATTCCTACTGTTTCTTATTCCATTCTCATGGTGCAATGAATTGGACAAGACATAAACAATGTATTTGATAAGCAAGGACAACCGCAAACCACCAGGCAAAAGGTTTTTCTTTTATCAAAACCTAAGTAGCCACTTGTGCTGAGGAATCAGAATTTACCGAAGTCTATATCTGGTTAAAGCAGCAGATTATTTTAAAATAAGAATTAAAATCCCATAAGCATGAAAAGAATCATTGACATAGTAAGAAAGTGATATAACATATAATAAGTATATATGCAGACAACCAAGCTTAGCAAACCTAAGTATGAAAAGTGTAAATTGTATATTGAAGAAGCCAGTGACCTTTGTATGCAGTAATAAACAGATCCATTCAGCAATCACAGTTTCCGAGTGCAAAAGGGCCATAATATCCCTACTTGATCTACTTGATTATTGAAAGGAAAGACTGACTGAGTCACACCCTATATGAGTTACTTACAGCATGTGCCACGAAGTTTTAGTATCCGCAGGGCACTTAATCTCACACTGCTATACTAGTCTTGAGGATGATTGCATTGATCAACCATTACACATAGACTTGACATGATTGTCATCAATGGTCCAATAGACGAAGCCTGCTGCAGCCAGATGCTTGACAACCCCCCTGCATTGTAAACGGTCGAGCTTATCATCATTCATGTGCAATTAAAAAATAATAATACTAGTAACACACAAGAAAAAAAAATATACATAAGAGAGAGAGAGAGAGAGAGAGAGAGAGTACATAATGTTTGCTTTGGGCATTCCAGTTCTTCTAACCAATTCATCAACGTGTGCTCCATGTTCGAGAGCACTGTGGAAATAAAAAGTCAGTCCAAATATCCAAAATAAGCTATCATCGGTTAACAGTGCCTAAGACAATACACTTACAGTATATCTGGTTGCTGCAGAGCTTCCAAAACCATTCTTTGTGGGTCATGCTGTAGTCCACCAGTGCTTGAGTAAGCTGAAAACTGGGCCGGGAAATAAAAGATCTAACAAGATCAGGTAAGAGTGAACATGTAACAAGAAAGAGGGCCTTAAAGAATGCATGTTGGTGAATTAAACGGAAGGCACTAAAAACTATGCTAGGGAAAAGGCAATAAAAATCTCAATTCCATAATACTGACACAAATTATCAAATAAAACCAAATCTCAGTTCTCAGATATACCAACTAAATCATATACTATTAATATGTTATATTTTTTATAAGCAAGCAATTCTCAAAACGATATGTAAAATTTCATACTTGGTTTGCTTGAGTAAGATGAACTTGTTCTCTCACTCCACCAGAAGAAGCCGCATGATTATACAGGTTTGTTTGAACTGCTGGAGGAAATTGCCCTTGGTTTACAGGAGGTGTAAAATGAACTTGATGTTCTCTAAATCCACCAGAATAAGGCACATGAGCAGATGTGTTTGTTTGAACTGATGGAGGAAATTGCCCTTGGTTTACTTTAGGAGTAAAATGAATTTGATGTTCTCCAACTCCACCAGAAAAAGGCAAATGGGTAGATGTGTTTGCTTGAACTGCCGGAGAAAACTGCCCTTGGTTTACTTGAGCAAAATGAGCTTGATGATCTCTAACTCCACCCAAAAGAGGCACATAAGTAGATGTATTTGTTTGAACTGCAGGGGGTAGTCCTTGGTTTACTTGAGGAGTGAAATGAACTTGGTAATCCCTCACTCCACCAGATGAGGGCACATGAGTGTATTCATTGGTTTGGACTGAAGGAGGGAGTTGCCTTTGCATCTTCAAAATGGAAAGGTAGCGATCATTAATGACTTCTAGCATTGTCAAATTAGTAATAGAATTGCCATAATATTGAATTACTTGCTTTATGTACCTTCGATTGAACACTTTCCAAATGCACATGCATACACTCAATGAAATGTAGCACCACTTCGTTGAAATTGTTAATAGGCCTGCAAATACACGAATCACAATTTGAAGCTTAATAGAATAGAAGTACTCTTAGTAAATAACAGAGAAATGAGCAAATATATATAGTTTCCTCAAGTACTCATAAACTAACACTACAATAGTGAGCTAGTATTTCTACAGACCATTTACTTCACTTGTATTAGAAATGTACTGAATTAAGTCAGCGAAGCAAGGATTGATTAATTCAGTTTCCAGCTTGTTCGTAGGATCAGTAGTTCATCCAACAGTACACTTCAGAAAAGGTATAACAGAGATAGAATACAGATACACGATAGCAACATGGTTATGCAATACATGACAAAAAAGAGTGCAATTAAGGAAGTACATACAATACACATCAATCAATAACAGTGCAACAGATTTAACATGTCCACCAACTGAACAAGTTAAAGAAAAGGTTCCAAAACACCTGAGGTGAAGAAATAGAAGAAAAAGGTAGTGTGCAACGAAGGAAAAATCAGCACATTTTATGCAAAGATCTAATAAATTAGAACAGCTAATGATGGTACTATCTGAAAAAAAATCAGCAACAAGTTCCAAAAGACATACCCAGGTTGAACTTAGATGAACAGAGAAAACTACTCTGAAAGAGGATAGTGTTAAGAATCAAACACACACACAAACATACAAAAAGAAAAGAAAACGAAAGATAGCCGCTACACATACAATAAAACCTTTATCTCAAACATCCCCATACTTTCTTCAAAACACTTCTAAATTTGCATCCACCATGTATCTAATCAAGTCATCCAAGATTAGCACTCCATTCAAATGATATAATATATTTCAAGAAAACTTACTGTAAGAACAGAGTTCAAGTATTATCCACAAAATAATACTTTGTGAGCCCATGATCTTCAAACAAAGCAAACGGCCAAGACATTTGGGTGCAAGTGCACAACAAAGATTGCCAGCATTGTATGCAAACTTCAGAGCGTGCATAATTGCTATTGAAAATTAATGTAACTCCAGTAGAACTATGAATTTCAGAGGTAAAACTTTTAAAAAACATAGTAGTACTTCATTCAAATGAGCAGAAGCTTTCTAGGTGAATTAACAGAGTACCACCACATCAATACAAAAGGAATTCAAGTACCTTACCTGATAGATCGAGCAAGACCCTGCTTCTTAGCTTGAAATCCCATGAGGTTCACTTGAACCTTCACATACACTCCCTCCCTTCATATGTACAGGAAATATAAATAACAGAATATAAAATCGCTGAAACTAAAATAAGCACATCTCAGAGCCTATACACTAATACACATCACATACTGAATGTAAGACGTGTCTCGAGTATCCGACTGATCAGTGATCCTACAATCCCAGAAAAAAAAATGTCACATGTACTGCATCGCAACAGCATTCAATGCGAAAGGGGAAACAAAATTGCAACTCACCACCGAACGAGTGGGATCTTCCCGGTGCTGTCATCGAGAGTGAAGCACACGTCAGTATCCCTGCTCACCACGCTCACCACCCTCCCCAAAACCCTAACCTAAAACCATCAACGGCACCCAAAAAAAAACAGATTACGCGGGGCCACGGAAAATAAATTGAGGGAAGCTGTGGAGGTGCCGAGTAGCCTACGTTGGTGGTCTCGACGCCGTCGATGGAGAAGACGGGGTCGCCCCCACCGTCCGCGGCGAGCGCGGCGGCGAAGGACCGGGAAATGTGGAGCACGGTGGCGGGGACGCATCCGGAGAAGCGGGGGTCGCGCGGCTGACAAGGAAACCTCGACGGCGTTAGGGTTCGGGGGAGAACGAGACGGAGATAGGGTTACGACGAAACGGAAGATCACGAACCTTGGAAGGGGAAGGAGCGGCGGCGGCGCCGGTGCCGGCGGCGGAGTACTCCGGCGCGGGGGCCCCGCTGCGCTGCGATGGCATGAGCGCCGTGCCGGAGAAGTAGGACGCGGCCGCGGCCATTTCGCCGGCGGCGTCGGAGCGCGGCGGTTTCGGAGGAGACGAGACGAGGCGGAGTTTGTTTGAGCGGGAAAAATAAAAAAATCGGAGCCGCGTGAGAAAAATGACGTGGCGTGGGGGATGGGGAAAATTGCAGCTGTCACCCGCAGGTGGGGCCTCCGTGTCAGAGAGGCGGGTTCGAATTCCCACCCTTCTGGGCGCGTCCTGAACTGGAAGGCGGAAACGCAGCATGGAAAGAGGGAAAGCCGCTTTCGAGAAGGAATACAAGAGTTCGCCCCGCCGCCGCGCTCAAGGAGAGCTTATCCGGCGCGCGAAGAGGAGGCTCGCCGCCTCGCCGCTGCAGCTCCGTGCGGTCGTCGTCGGCGGCGGCGCTCTTTCGGTCCTCGCCGGCGGGTCTCGGTATCATCCCTCTCTTCCTCCCATCTCATAATATGATGATAGGACCTCTTGTTAATTAATCCATGAATTGCGATTTGTGTGAAATGGTACTTCGTGAGTATGTTGTACTCAATTCAATGGGGATTGCGCAGTTTGAGTTCAAAAGAATTGGATGGATCCGTGGTGCGAATCTCCGATTTGCTCGAGATGCTTATCTGGTTCTGGGATTTGGTTTGTGGTGAAAGTCAATTTGGGAGGGCCTGTAGGATCTCACTAGGTACGAGTCTTGTTGTGTGCGGAACGCCACAAAAGTCACTGCAGTTCTGCTTTGTGTTGCTGCTGTGAGCCTGCGATTCGCATTGCATGGCTAAATCGAGGCCTGTGCTGGAGTGCTTGTATACTTCATCCTAGGACTAGAGTTGTAGGGGTATCAAAACAGGTAGTGCCCATGTTCCAATTCTGATTTAAGATTCAGTAGAAATCAACATAAGGAGGAGCACAGAATTGCCTCCTGTACCTAGTTGGCAATGCTGGTACTCCACTACTCCTTGTGTTTTAAAGTGTCAGGTCTAAGCTATTACAAGTGTCTGTGCATAGTCAGACAACACATTTGAAATTTGGTTTTCCCTATTAAGGAAATTCTGTGTTGTGCCGTTGAGGCATAAGGTGATTGTGATACTGTGATTAATGAAACGATGTCTGCTGCTTATATGCGAGCAGCCATAGGAGCAGCTTTATTGATGCTCTCTTCCATTCCTGGAATGATTATATATATGAGCAACCTGAACTACTCATGTTACCATTTATGCACCTAATGATACTGCAGTTATTCGATCTGAAATTTGCAACAGTATGGATTTGTTAGTTAATGGTTGGTGTGCTAGCCCACCCGTGTTCAAATCCTCCCTCCTACAAAAGTGGTGGTGATTTTTATTTTTTTACCTCATATTCTCCTAACTGCTTGGGTGCATGGCTTTTGGTGCTTCCTGGCCTCCCGCCCCTGACTTTTTTTTTGGCAATTTAATGGTTCCGGTGGGCTGCTTTAGACTGCTGTTGAATATTAGAAATATGTGGTAACAGATATGTTTGCAAGGAAATAGATACTATCTGACAAATCGTGCAGTGACACCATAAGAAGTGATGTTGCTCCATTGTTTGAATCATGGTTCATGAACACGCCAGACACTAAACATCTACAGTGTTGGCATCTACCACCTAGGACCAACTCGACTAGTGAATTCCAAGCAATTAGCAAGCATATTGCCCAAGGGCACCCAAGGCAGGTTAGCCATCTAATGCCTGATCGCAGTGGATGCCTGCAGCCTAACGCCTAATAGGCGTGCGTCTATGGCCGAATTCTAGAGCATTGGCTTCAGTGATGAAAACTGCGATAAGAATGTAGGATTGAATTTTTTTTTACATAGTTACAATTGGTTAAAAAAAAGTTCTCCACAAGAATATCATCCCTGAATGTTCTCTCCCAAGTGATGAGTGGAACAAGTTCATGCGATATACTAAAGAATCCTCATGGACCGTTTTATTTTTTAATTTAACAACTGTTCAAACAACCTTGTGATCAATGCGTGAAGATCCATCTGCTGTATTTTCTGAACAGTCGAAGCATAGTTTCCTTTATTACAAGGTATAGGTGATAATTATAGGAGTTATTAATTGTTACCCTTTTATTATATCAATCCTGCGTTAAAAAAAATTGAAGTCGCAAATACTCCTGCAGTTAGATCGTTACCACTTCTCCTTTTTGCCGGGATGTGACTCCTTGTCTCCTACCATGGTGCATTGCTTTCCTGAAGCTCTGATATTAGTTTTATTTTTCATTCATTCCAGAAGTTTTTGCACTTTTACAGATTATAATGTTTGGCTGTTTGCATTTGTTTTATTCTTATATGTTTGTGCTTGCACTATGTCCATAAGTCCGTTGTTAGTATTGCCTCGTAGGATCACGCATAACAATAAGTGTTTATGGTAGTTCCTACCATATTTGCATGAACATGATATGGCAGATTTGTACAATTATTTTGTAAGTGTAATTGTATCAAATGATTTGATGCAAAATAACTTGTGTGTAGGGAACCGAGTGCTCAAATGGGTCATGGCCCAAGGAGGCTGGTCTCTGGTGCATATGCCATGCCACCCTGGGTGCCTATTGAAGTGAAAATTGATCAGAAATGGAAACGAGCATTTGTATTGAGACAAGCCGATCACAGGGGACTCTGTCTTGTAAGAGTTACAGGGACACCCGATGCTGAGCCAGTCATGGTGCCATTGTCAACGATTCGATTACCTTCTCGGGTCCATCGTGCTAAGAGAAGACCAGAAACTGCCATGCAAATACAAGTGAAGAAGGCTAGGATTGAGCAAAGCAGTGACGACGAAGAATAGTATAATGCATGCCTGTAAGTATGTATGTTGCTATAACACATGTTGTTTTTTTAGGATATAAGAATTCTTAGCAACATTTTTACCTTTCATGCCTTTGTAACAGAATATTTGGTCATATTGTAGCCATGCGATTCAAAATTATTCTTCAATTGTTGGATTCGGTGCTTGAAACCTGCTAGCTGCCCGGTGCCCGTTGAGCTATGGGCCGCAAAGCTTGTTGCTATACCTGCTAGTTGCTGTAAGATACGGTTTAAAAAAAAAGTTGCTTTAAGATTGAGAGAACTTGAGATTCATATCAGACTGACAGACACCTAAGGCACTTGTTTGATTGTTTATTTCTGGTTCATTATTTCCAAACTTTAGATGGAACTGACTACAATGGAGTAGCAGTGACAGTGTTCTATGATTTATACTCGTTGAGGCTTTCTCTTCTTTCCTTCTTTTTCCCTTTTCTCTTTTTAACCGTTCTAGGCTGCAAATTGCGCAGCGGCATTTTTCCTTTGTTTTTCAATAATAGAACAGCAACATGTTTTCTCTGTTTTGGGTTCACATAATCAAATATTCCCAAACTTTACAAAAGTGTCAAAGCTTTTGCCCTTCCTTAAAAAAAATCCAAATATTTTCCACCTGGGGAGAAACAATGCTCATTTTCCACTACTGTCGATGTGATTTGGTTCTGAATCAAGGGAATTTCATAGGTTTCATATAGCCATACAGATCCGTAAGAAAGAAAATCATCATATGGTGGCCTTCTATGTTCACTTTTTATTCAGTCACTATCCTTGTGTGCTGTAATTATTTAGAGATGCTGCGTTGTCGTGAGTACTCTCTTTCCTTCGGATTTGCTAGAAAACTTTCATAAGTTTTTTATATAAGTTAACTAAACCATAGTTGAATGTAAGTTTTATATAAGTTATATCATGGTTACAATATAGTTATAGTACAGTTACAATGCAATTACACTTCAACTATACTATAGTTGCATTTGAAAGTTTTTTAACAAAAAAAAACTTACGTTAGTTTTTTTTAATACTCCTTTTTTTCCCTTTCATTTCATTTTCCCACTTTGGGGGAGGGAGGAGAACCTTCAGATTTTTTTTCTTTTCTCTTCGGTAACCAGGATACTGGGCCGTAACCTTACCAGTCCAAATTGAGGGCCCATTTAGAAAGGCCTGGATCTGATACCAATGGGCCTAAACCCAAAGGCGGTGGAGGCCTCACCGAAGCGCCGACGTCAGCACAGAGCGTGTTCGCCTCGACCTCTCCTCTCCTCTCTTCTACTTCTCCCAATCAAACCCGCCGCCGCCGCCGCCACTCCTCGATTTTTCTCCCGCAACTCACTGCGCCGCCGCGGAGAGGCAAACCCGAAGGAGACTAGGAGAGGAAGAGCTTCACCGCCTCCGCCTCCGGCAAGGAAAGCCAAAGCCAATCGAGGCCAAGAGCGAGGGGGAAGGAAGAAGAGGGGGGAAGGGAGAGATGCCGACGGTGACCTGCAACGCGTGCAACGCGGGGTTCGATGACGAGGAGCAGCAGCGCCTCCACTACCGCTCCGAGTGGCACCGCTACAACCTCAAGCGCAAGGTACTATCGTTTACCTTCCACCGTGGGGTGGCCTGGCCGCCTTCCTATCTGTATCGACCTCTCGGGGTTTTAGGTCGATTAGGGAGCGTGTTTTGTTTTTAGGGTTTTTTTTTTCCGTTCATGTAGGAGATGATTCGTTCTTTAGTTAGGCACTTTGGTGTGTTGCGCGTATATGGACCGAATTTGAAACTTTGAGTGTAGGAAAAGCCCATGCGAACTCTTCAGTGATGGAATTTTGCTCTTGTTTTGAAGTCGCCTGTTAAAAGTTTGGAAATTTGGAAATAGTTTGTTTTTCCACCTGAAATTGGTCAGTCCTGGATTTTGGAGAATTTCAGGATGAATATTTTCCTATGGCTATTAAGGCAATATTAGTGGTAAAATTATGGTGGCCGAAATTTGAACTGGAGGCTCTAATGCTTTGATTAACTCGAGAGGAGAGCTTTCTATATGTGTTACACTTACACGAGCATCTCTGTTGGCCTCTTGGCGCTGGCAGAGATTTCATTGAGTGGCTGTGGTTTGGTGAATTTGTTCATGCATGAGATGCCCTTTAAAAAAGCATTGTCGTGTTCCCAGTAGAAATATCCCGCATGTTGTTACAAAAACCTATATGGGATAGTTGATGTAGATTTACATCTTTTGTTTTAGACAAACTATTTTACTCATTATGATTATCCTTGCAAAGCATGCTTCCTGTTGGGTAAATTCTTAGGGAGCAACATAGATGCAAGTCGATGTGTGACATTATGTTGTAGAAGCATACTTGCTAGAAATTTGTCTATCTTGAGCATTATGATTGGAAAACATGCTTCTAGAGAATTATTAATTGAACTTCTGTGAGACTAAGACCGAGACATTTATTTCTGTGTCAGGTGGCTGGAGTTCCTGGAGTGACTGAGGCTCTGTTTTTGGCTAGACAAACTGCTTTAGCAGAGGGGAGCAACTCTGATAGCACTCCAATGCTCTACAGTTGTGCTCTTTGTGGAAAGGAGTACAGGAGCTCAAAAGCTCATGCCCAACATCTTAATTCACGATCACATCTCATGAAAGCTTCTCAGGAGCCTAATGCATCCATTGCTGGAATTACCATAGTCAAGCCTCGTCCTGAGCGAGTTCAACGCAGGGCTCCATCTGCAGTAGAAGAGGATGAAGATGAAGATGAGGAGGAAGAGTGGGTTGAAGTGGACCCAAGTGAGTTAGAGTCGACTTCGGAAATGCAAGTAGATGAGCATTCCTCCAAATCAGATGATGAGATAGATGAGTTTGAAGAGTTGGATCCCACATTCTGCTTCATGTGTGATCTTGAGCATGACACCATTGAGAATTGCATGGTCCACATGCACAAAAAGCATGGGTTTTTCATACCTGATAGCGAATACTTGAAAGATCCAAATGGTCTTCTTATATATGTTGGTCTGAAGGTAGGCATTGTTCATTTGTGTAAAGTCTTCTCTTTTACTTTTCTTGGGTACTATAATCTTAATCATAAGGTTGCTTTGATTATCGTATGCAGGTGAAGCGTGATTTTATATGCCTATACTGCAATGACAGATGCCAGCCTTTCCAAAGTCTAGAGGCTGTGAGAAAGCATATGGATGCAAAAGGACACTGCAAAGTACGATATGGAGATGGTGGGGATGATGAAGATGCTGACCTTGAAGATTTCTATGATTACAGCAGCAGGTTTCTATTAAGAGTTTCCTCTTACAATAGTTCAATATTGCTTGTTTTCATTATTATGTTTGAATGTTGAGTTAAACATAAATGAATTGCACTGTGGGTTTCGGGTACCTTGGTTTACTCACTAACATTTTGTGTGCCATGCTACTGTTTGACATGTTTTACAAATAATAGAGACCCCGAGCATCTGCTGTTGATGACTGAATAGTTTTTGCTATTGTCTGTTGAGTTTTGACCCTTATGTTCCATGACTGAATTATATTCTCAGACTGGTAGTGAGACTTTTATAATAGAACAATCCTAGCACTATAGATTTAATTGAAAAATCATGTGGTAGATCAAAATTCTTCCTCCATAAGGGATGATATAGATAGTGGGTATACTAGTTCTTCCTCCGTTATGTATCATAATCATGTTGAACAGAGCCCTAGTTGTAGGTACTATGGTTAGCACTGGAGATCAAAATTTCTTTATTTGGTTGAATGCATGGAATCATTGTAGATCTAACGGCCAATGGTCTCTGATATTCTCGTTGCAGTTATGCTGATGTGGAGGGTAAGGAGTTGGTTGCTGCAGATGACAAGGATAACATTGAACTGGGAAGTGGTGGGGCTGAGCTTGTAATAACGAACAAGAGTGAGAAAGGAACTCGTGTCAGAACTCTTGGTTCTCGGGAATTTATTCGCTACTATCGCCAGAAACCACGTCCTTCTGTTGCAACAGATCGTGCTCTTGCGCTTTCTCTGGCTTCCAGGTCTGAACCTATTGTCCACTTTTCCTCCATTTGGTTATCTGCCATGTTACATCAATAAAATCTTAGCAACTCCTTAGTTTGATGCTGTTATTCACGATTTCTGCTTCTCCTCATCAGCTACAAGAGCATGGGTCTGGTGACAGTTCAGTCAAAGGAGCAAGTTGTAAGGCTGAAAGTTCTCCGCGCAATGAACAAGACAGGTGTGGAGACCATGCGAACCAAGATTGGAATGAAGAGCAACGTGATCCGCAATCTCCCCAAGAACTGCCCATATTAGTCGATGCCACCTGTTGCAGGATCAAAGCCCTTGGAGCTCCAGCATCATCTTTGTGGCAATGGCTGTTTTTTGTGCATCTGCTAGCCATGGCAGAGAGCTTGTGATATTCGCAAAAACAATAGATCTTTATATTGTTTAATTTGCACCTCAAATGAGAGTATCATGCTTACTGGAAACAAGACTGTATCCGGTATAAGAGTTATGACTTCGGTAAACACATCACCTTCTGTGATTTTGAACATGCATACTCGTCTCATGTTTGCATTCGTTTTTTTTTATGTCACAAAATAATCCAAGAAACTAGGGAAGCATAAGTGGTATATATGGAGTAAATACACCAACAAGATAATGCTGAAGTAATATTAACATATATGACATCACCTATGACGTGCTGAAGTAATAATATTAACATGCATGACGTCACCTATGACTTAGCAGGAGAGATTTGCAGTCTTTCAGCCTGTAAAATGGTTATTTAGCAATCCTAATCCTGATTCTTAGATGAGATTTCCCCCAGGCCTCGCCTGCCTGCCTGCTTTAGGAGAGATAAAAGAGATTTGCAGTTTTTCATCCTGCACAATGGTTATTTAGCAATCCTAATCCTGATTCTTAGATGAGATTTCCCCCAGGCCTCGCCCTGCCTGCTTTAGGAGAGATAAAGAAAGATTTGCAGTTTTTTCAGCCTGTAAAATGGTTATTTAGCAATCCTAATCCTAGCTGTTAGATGAGGTTTCCCCCAGGCCTCACCTGCCTGCTTTGGTGGAGTGATGTGGGATTTGGTTTGGTAGCCTGCTTGAAGAGGTCGTGGGTTGGAGTAGTTCTGGGCTTTTGGCCTTTCGGATTGCGTTCTGCCTCCAGGTTCTTGGCTCCTTTTAAAAGGACCCTCACTCTCCTCTCCACTCCCACCACCACCACCTACCCTGTCTGTCTGCCGCCGCTCCGGTACTCCTCTTCTCCTCCTTCCCTTCTCATCGTGTTGTTGTTCTATATTAGCTTTTTTAAAAATATTGTAGTTCTATATTGGCATTTTTTAGCCACGGCTGTACGCCTCCTCTTCTTTTTTTTCATGAGATTGTTGTTCTGTATTGTACTTCCTCCGTTTCACAATGTAAGTCATTCTAGTATTTCCCACATTCATATTGATGTTAATGAATCTAGATAGATATATATACCTAGATTCATTAACATTAATATGAATGTGGAAAATGCTAGAATGACTTACATTGTGAAACGGAGGAAGTACTTTTTTTCCTGGGATCCTGGCGATCGACGGCGGCCCGTTTGAGATTAGATTGTTATTCATGGTTTGATTTAGGTTCTTGTCGTCGCAGAATATGATTTCTGGATTGAGTTTTTGATCAATTTAATTTTGGGTTGTTTCCTCCGTTTCGGTCTGGCTAGTTCTTACCAAGCTCAGGGTTTTAGCTTTGGAGTTATACTCCTGTGTTAGTAATTTTGAGGCGCTCTCCTGATCTCCTTTCCATAGCTGGTGGATGTATTTGGGTGTCCTGGTTCCATGTGGATATGAGAAGAGCTGGTTAGGAATTGGGCCTGCTTCCGATCAGTTTCCGGATCGAGTTTTATCATCTATGGGGTTGCTTTTTGAGTAAATTAACTCCTTTTTTTCAATAATGAGGTTGTTTTGGTTGTTCTACCTACAGGTGAAGCGTGATTTTATACTGCAATGATAGATACCAGCTTTTCCAAAGAGGCCATGAGGAAACTCATGGGCGAAGAAGCGCACTACAGGCCAAGGTTCGAGATCACAATTTACATTTTGTGGTGAGTGGAAGTGGAGTCTTCGTAGATCTAACGGCCAATGGTTTCTGATATTGTCATTGCAGTTTTGCTGATATAGAGGATGAGGACTTTCAGTGCTGGCTTAACATTGGCCTTTGGGAATACCAACCAAGGTGTAAGATTCAATCCTAGCATCCATTCTTTTACACCTCCAGTTAATCCTAACTGTTCACTCACTCATTTCCATCTACCAATCCAACCTCCATAACCCATTTGCCATTTACCAAACAGGGTGTAAGCGGATAAAAGAAGAGGATAATGAGTTAGTTGAGATGGAAAGCGGTTGGGCTGAGCATCATCTCGAGTCTTTTGATACTAAGCAAAATCTTGCAGCTTATGTCAGGGCTCTTCGTTCTTGTTGGGGATTCTCTTACGAAGATCGCCTGAAACCACATATTCCTGTTGCAACGGATCGTGTTCTTCCACTTTCCCTGGCTTCCAGGTCCGAAACCTTTCTTCTTTTCTTTCTTTCTTTTCTATTATTCCCATCCATTTGGTTATTTGCAGTGCTATGCTACATCGATAAGATCAGTAGAACTCTTGAAGCCCAGTGTTGTTATTATTTCTCATGTCCTGATTCTCTTATTTTCAGCTACAAGGGAATGCGTTTGGTGACTCTTCAGTCGAAGGAGAAAGCTGCAAGGCTGAAATCTCTCCGAGCAATGAACAAGACTGTGGAGAACATGCGTACCAAGATTGGAATGAAGAACAATGTGATCCGCAAGCTGCCCAAGAACTGCCCATACTAGGCCATTCCACTCTGGTTGTGAGAGAAGAGTCCCTGGAGCTCCAGTACAGGCTTACAGCATCACCTTTGTGCTTGTGGCCATGGGTGTTCTTTCTGTGCTTCTGTTAGTCATGGCACAGAAGCAATAATAATCGAATAATAGAACCTTACTGTCAAGTTCTGTAATAACTGTTAAAGTGGACACAGATCTTTATGTTGTTGAAGTTGCTCCTGGAATAAGAGTATCATATCATGCTTGTTTCTATATACTATTACATGTTTGAGTTGTTTCTATACTGTGATTTTTCACTCTCTTCTATTGTCCAAGCGAGGCTGCAACGTACTGAAGATATTTTTACCCTTTTTGGTAATCGAGTTGCTAAGAAATTGAGATGTGGATGACCCAATTAGAAGATAAGATATCCCATTTTGTAAGCTTGAAGCTGCATTGCAACAAAAAAAAGTCATGTGCAAGAAACTTTGCTGTTCTGCAGGGGCTCAAAATTGATCAAGCAAACAGAGACTACTCCATCCAGTCAGAGCAGTTACGGGATTCAGAATGACAACAAGAGCATATTGAAAATTGAAAACTGACAGAACAATAGGACAGCCAAAACATGTTCCAACAATAACCAGGATATTTAGTCATGTTAGAACACAAAACTGAAGTTCAACCCGTCAAAATTGGAGATATATTTGACTTTGTTGAGGTGCTCCTCAGCAAACTTGAAGCAACCGGCACAGCCGTGTGCAATTCAGATTTGGGCTAGCCCAAAAGTGGCCCATTTAATGCCATGGCCTTGTCGTGCCTAGCCCAGTCCATCTGTGCCCAAGTTAATATAGAGTTAGGCCTCAACATAATGTTTGGTCATTTGTTTTTAAAAACAATACAAATATGTAAATATAGATAGATTATGATTAAAGTATTTATATATAAGTTACAAAAAATAGTTAATACTTGTATTTTTTAAAAAAAAATAAAATGAATGGTCAAACTACATATCAAAATTTAACTGTAGGATCGGAATTTCAATAGGCCCGACTTTCACAACTTGTATCTAAACTAGTATGGACTCTATTTTGCATAGCAGAAGCCAATTTTCCACGGCAAATGCAACTTGTTCATTTCACATCAGATGATTGTTACAACTTACAAGTATGCAGCGCTGAAGCTGCAAACGAGTTTCCTCCATATGCCGTGCTCTCGTCCTCCACGCGTCACTCATGATTCATGCCCGTCCTTTTCACATCTTTTTTCCAACGATGGGAGTCCCTTTCCCTTTATAATAGTCTTCGCGTTGAGATTTGAGAAGACCATATGTGAAGATGAGTTCGGTTTGTCCATGGAATTTGGCCTTGATTGATCTTTCAATGGATGATTTGAAGTGATCATTAGAATACAGATTTTAACGATCGGCGCATGGAAGTTCGGTTTGTCTAGGGAATTTAACCTTAATTTATCTCTCGTAGAACGGTTAGGAGCGATCACTGGAATACAAAATTAGTCTACTTCTTCTGATAAAAAATAATAAAATAAACAAATTAATTTTTTATTTCAATTTTAGAATAAGGAATAAATCATGTATACATCTAAACAAACATTTCACCGATTTTAAGGGAAGTGTTTGTAGTACTTCATCCATCAGAGTTTACTTGTGTTTTCAATTGAATATTAGTAAGATTACGGAGCTATCGTTGGTGTTCATTTCTTTAAGTGAGTACACAGCTAACATATTCATTGATCTATATGCTCTTTTTTTAGGTGTGTATGCATATGTGTCTTTCATGTAGTGTAGAAAAAAAAACTCTCATACTGTATTATCTCGATTTAAGAATTCTAGAGAATTTTCATATGAATTGAACTACCTTGAAAGAAAATCATGCAAATTCATTTCAAAGATGGTTAAAACGTGACGAGCAAACCCGTCAACCTATTCAACATTTCAACCCGTACTGCATTCATACTCCCGTGGTACTCTCTCCGTCTCAAAATAAGTGCAACCATGATTTTCCGCGTCAAACTTTAACCGTTCGTCTTATTTGAATTTTTTTTTAAAAAATTAAAAACATAAGTCACGAGTAAAGTACTATTTATGTTTTATCATCTTATAGCAATAAAAATGCTAATTATAAAAAAAAATAAGACGAACGACTAAAATTGTGCGCGGAAACTTATGACTGTGCTTATTTTGGGACGGAGATAGTAGTAGTAGAACATACTCCTACAAATCCAAACATGGTTTTGACTTTTGACCTTGCCTAATCATTCACCCTGCACAGTCCGCATGTTTTTTCTCCTCGCCACAAGATAATCCAAAAAAACCGCTCAAATACAAATTTAAAAAGCACCAGTATGCTGACCCAAATAAATAAATAATAAATATTTTTATTATATACAAAAACAGCCGAAATGAAGCGAGAGAGAGATAGATAGGGAGGCTGCAGCAGCAACAGCATCAGCAGCGGCGGCAGCATCTTCTCTTCCCCCCCTCGCAGCCTCGCGTCTCGACTCCCTTTTCAACCCTCCTCCCCTCCAGTCTCCTTCCCTCTCTTCTCGTCTCCTCTCCCACCACCACCGCGCCACCTACCCTCGCCGCAGCGGCAGCCGCGGTACGTCTCCTCTCCCCCTCCTCCTCCTCGTCTTCATCCCCTTCTCGCCAGATTTTTTTGGTTCGATTTTGACTTTTTTTTTTCTCGGATTCTGGCGATCGATGGCTTCATGTGTTTGTGTGTGGGGTTTGATTTGGGTTCTCGGGTGTAGCGGGAGTAGTTGATTTTGGGGGAGTTTGTTCGTTCGGTGTGGATGTTACGGAGCTCGGGGGTTTAGTCTCGGGAGTGTGCTGATGATGAGGTGTAATTTTGGTGGGGGCTGGCGATCTCCTGATCTCGTTTGCATGTGGTTCGTGTGCCCGAGGTTAGATTGGATTGGAAGAGCTGGTTGGGAATTTGGGGTTTGGGGTCTGATCAGTTTCCAGATCGAGTTTTATGGGGGGTTGCTTTGCAATTTTTTTACTGGTATTTGTATTTGGGGAATGGAAATTTTGGTTTGGATTCTCTTATTTGAATTAGGTGTAGTTCCCATGCGATTAACTATAGAGCTCGTTCTGTAGTTGTGCGGATTGCTTTCGCTTGTGTTGCATCCTGGAGGAGACTGGTTTTTGGTGGATTTGACCAGGTGGGTATTGTAGTTTTGGGGGATTTAGGGAAGATGATATGAACGCTGAGTAGTTGAATTTGTTGGGAGAAGGCTTACTAATTCAACCTTTTGGCAATCATATGGGTTGATGTAGGAGAGATTCTAGTTTGTGCAGTTCAAAACAACCAGTTGGAACCAAATATCCATTGACATGATTCTGTGATACCGTTAAACTCATGTTGGATCGATGGAAATGCTAAACTTTGTTGTGTATTGGAAATATACTATGTTTAGAAATGATGAGTCTCAAACTAATCTATTTTCATCTTGATGTCATGCAGGTTTTAATGAAAAGTAGCACTTGTTAAAGCTACTAGTTTTGTTAGAAAATCTAACATGGGGTCAGGAAACCTGATGATGAAGAAGGTGGTGAGGCCCAGCTCTTTTGATTTCGACATACAGCTTGATAAAAGTTGGACAGAGGATGTTACTTGCCCAATCTGTCTTGATTACCCTCACAATGCTGTCCTGCTAAGATGTACATCTTATGAGAAAGGTTGCAGGCCATTTGTCTGTGATACAGATCAAACCCGCTCAAACTGTCTTGAGAGGTTTAAAGGTGCATATGAGCTCCCTGCCAATATGAAAGTTTCAACCATTGCGGTGGCTCCTCTTGATAGTATCCATATTGTGGCTCCTAATGTGAACAACCGCCCAAGCTGCCCATTGTGTAGAGGAGATGTCATTGGATGGATTGTTATCGGTGAGGCTCGTCTACATCTTAACCAGAAGAAAAGATGCTGTGAAGAGGATTGTTGTTCATTCGTTGGCAACTTCAATGAACTTCAGAAGCACACACAACAAAAGCATCCAGACTCACGCCCTTCGGAAATTGATCCTGCTAGGCAAGTTGATTGGGAGAACTTCCAGCAATCTTCTGATATTGTTGATGTGCTGAGCACGATTCATGCACAAGTTCCTAATGGAATTGTTCTGGGAGATTATGTCATTGAGTATGGGGATGATGAAACTGGAGAAGAATATGAAGTTTTCAGGCGGGTCAGAAGGCACTGGTGGTCTTTTATGTTTTTCAGGGGATTCTCTAGATCTTCAAGAAGACGAAGAAGAGCAAGGGCAAGGGAAAGAAGAGGCAGTGGAAGGAGGAACAGCAATCAGGCACATCTCGAAAGCTTTAACCTCGAGGTTCCCACACAATCTGTTGACTTGAGAGAAATCAGATTTGATGAAATTGATGATGAATACATAGTCACAGGGGCCATACCTAGTATTGCAACACCTGGAAGAATGGCTAGTTTCCATTACAGGTCTGTAGAAACAGTCTACTGTTAATCTTCCTTAGTTATTGGAGCTATATCTATCATTTTTGTAAGAACAAAGAACACATGCTAGTCCAATGAAAAAATATTCAGGTTGTAGAGAATATGGAATACAAACATACCGCACTTTTGGAATCTTCTTGTTCCTGATGCACTTACTTTTACAGTACCTACTTGAGCTGCCATGTTATGCATAGAAAATACAGCCGTTTACATTTTTTACTCTTTGTCATGTTCCCTGTTTTCTTCTTGATGGCATTATGCATAGTGAAAGCATCTTTGAGGTAGCTCCTTTTAACCGATCTATTGCATATTTATGCGCTAGGTGTTAAGACTTTTGGTATGTTTAGGTGGGGTTAGTAAAGTTTCAGGAGAGGATTTTAGTGCCTGAGACATGCATGTGCAGTACAATACTGAAAACATGAGGCTACCTACCCTAAAATTTTGATTTCATTGTGGAGAAAACAATTTGATACTACCTTCCAAATTCAGCATGAGATGTAAATAATATAGTTCATGTTTTTCTTTAAATTTAAAACTCTAAAGCATGACGCTGTCCTTGTTTCATTTCTGACGAGTTGATATATGATGTTCTCTTGATGGATCCAGGGATACAAGATATGGACGATAAATGGTGTACTTGTAGGACCAGCTATTAAAAAGGAGCATAGTCTTTATGTGATGCAGCGATCATGAGAACATTGTACCTCTGCTCATTTACATTTCTTTTCGACCTCTATCGTTGCTAGGTGCTGCCCTGCCCCCCAGCCTAAACTTCCTGTGCATATAAATTAGCAACAGAACTCTCCATTGATCGTTCGCAACAGGTTTCATGATTCTAGTTTCATTTTGTATATATCCAGCACCCATCTCTATAGCGATGTTGGTGAAAACTTCTGTTTTTGGAAAATGCTGGAAAAATGCTGCTTGGATGTAGCAGACTTCATAGGACATTCCCAGAACAAGATTGAGTTCATTCCCAGTGGTTTGCCTGGAGTTGCTTCTGTTTCGATGAGTAGACAGTTACAGTTTTCAGTTGTACAACTGAAAACTGCAACTGCCACTGCCACTGCCACTGGTCAATTGCTCAAAACGGCCTTAGCCACAACAGTTACAAGATTTCTGCTGCTTGACCCGTGAACAGCCACAGTGGCTGGCAGCTTTGAGCTCACGACGCATCAGGCAAGCGTCTGGAAAGAGTGCTGTGCTGATTACTGAAGAAAAGTTGTTCTTTGCTTGTGATGATAGCGTTTGCTGATGTACTTGCGTGTTGAAGGCACCCAAAAGCAAACCAAACCAGCAATCTCTGATCGATCTATAATATGCAGTGTGTTGTGGTTTATATTTGTTTAGGAGTCCCTTACAGTAAGACGTGTTGACACGAGCAGGACAGCTAATTACAATCTTCTTGGAATCTCCCGTGTTGATCCTACCAATCTCCTTCAAGGTTTCAATTCTAAATGCGAATAATAGCACGATTCGATGCCATGTACGATGCATGTTTCATCCTGATGTGATGCTTTGTATTATTGAAGAGCATGGCAATCGTGTCGGGGCTTCATTTCCATTTTATACATGTTGCTTTCGTAGTTTCGTTGCGACATTTGTGCGCAAAGGCTAGCGCTGCTACGTTTCGACGGCGGCGATCTATCGCGACCGTCAAATCGTGGTCGAACGGCTGCGATTTCGAGAAGACTCTTCCGTGATGGGCCCGGAAGAGACGGAGACCAAAGCTGGCTTGATGGGCCGGCCCAGATATTCCCATTTGTCACGGGCGTCGCTGGCCCATGCTTATAACGGGCTTCCAGCCCACGACTACTAAGCCTCAGGCCCATGTAGAAGCCTGGTATTCGGGACAAACAAGCCGAAGCTTCACTCCGAGCAGAAACAGTGCTCTCGCCCCTCAAGCCGATCGCGATCAGATTGACACATACTACAATCACATAAAGAAATTTGCTCAATTTTCACAAAAATATATCATTGATTTGATAGATTAAACACGCGAGTAATCCAGGACGAGCAGGATAAACTCGATAACCAATTACATACATACACTTTGGGGATTTTCTTTGTTTTTTTTTTGACGCAATACACTTTGGGGATGATCAGTTGATCATGGACACATCACTGTTACACCGGAGGAGAACAAGAACCCTAGCTAAAACCTCCGAAGCGATGAGAATCCAGAGCTCTTCTTCGCCGTGGAGGCGGCGGCGACGAAGCTCGGTCGGCTTCGCGGCCGCGTGATCGCCTGCATCTTCCGCTGCCTGTCCGGCGCCTGGATCACCTGGATCGTGCGCCGCCGCTTCGCCTCCTCTGCTTCTTGGTACCCTTCCCGGAGCTTCCTCTTCGCGGCGTTCATGGCCTTCTCGTCGGTACAGCACGGCACGACGCTCTCGCGGTGGTGGGAGCTTCGAGCCGCAGCCGCCGCCGGCGCCTTCTCCGGTGGCGGATCGATCTTGGCCATCGTGGTGACACGGCTGCCGCCGACCACCGGACGAGCACTCTGCTTCTTGGGGAAAGGCGGCTGTGACCGTGAGGTGTTTGCCGTCTTCTTGGGCGGCGATGGCTGAAGGATCTTGGCGTGATGGTCGTCGGCCTCGTCGGGCTCCATCGCCTGGGAGAGCTTCTCCATGGCGGCTGCGGCCTTGAGGAGCTCGTCCTTGACGGAGGCCCTCCACCCGCGGACGATGCCGATGGCGAGGCTGCGGACTCGCTCCGACGGGTGATTCCTCAGCGCGCCGACGTCCTGCGCGAGGTCGGTGGAGGCCAGCATCTTGGGCATCGCCGGAACCAGCTCCAGCGTGAGGAGCGCCTCGACCATCATCCCGTCGAGCACGACGCGGAGCTCCTCCGCCACCGCCTCGTCGTCCGTCGCGTTGCAGAGCATCGCCACCACCTTGTCTGTCGCGTCGCGGAACTCCCTGCGGGAGATGCCCGGCTCGGCGGCCTCGATGGCGGCGTGGATGGAGGCGAACGCCGGGAAGAAGCGCTTCCACCGCCGGAGAACGCCTTGCTCCGCCATGGCGATCGGGCACTAGGGTTTGGTCGCCGCTCGACAAGAGGGGAATCGATCGCGCGCGCGATCAATTGAGAGGAGGAGGAATGCGAGAGTGGAGACACGCTCTCATGGCGTCGCTGGCCACCTTATATCGCCACACGAGACGGAGTCCGATTCGTATTTTGTGGCGCGCAGCCGAGGCGAGCGCTGATTCGGATTCGAATTCGAGAAACCGAATGCGAAACGGAGGCATGAGTTCGAGTTCGACGCGGATTCATGGCGCGAAAGGTGACTATTTAAACTCGCCCACGTCCAGCCTTGGCCTCCATTTACTCACCTCGGCTAAGCTTGACACCATCTTCTCTTGGTCTCCATGGGCGAGAAGCGATCTGCTGCGGATAGTGGCATCGCCGACGCCGACGAGCACGCCGGCGGCGGCGGCGGCGGCAAGCGGAGCTGCATCGAGAGCACCGACAATTACGAGGTCACGTGCTGGCTCAGGAAGGGCGCGTTCGGCGCCGTCATCAGGGCGCGCCACCGCGCGACGGGCAGGGACGTCGCGATCAAGTTCCTCCGCCGCCACCGCTGCGGCATGGGTGGTAAGGCCGTCGGCGAGGACGCGCTGCTGCGGGAGGCGCTCTACCTCGCGCGCTGCAGCCACCACCCCTCCATCGTCCACTACCACGGCCTCGCGCTCGAGCCGCGCTCCGGGATGTGGGGCCTCGTCATGGAGCACGTCGGCCCTAGCCTGAGCAGCGTCCTGCGCGAGCGCCACGGCGGCGGCGGCGGGCCGCCGTTCACGGAGGAGGAGGTGCGCCGCGTCATGCGGCAGCTGCTGAGCGGGGTGCAGAGGCTCCACGACCGCCACGTCGTCCACCGGGACATCAAGCCCGGGAACATCCTCGTCGGCGACGGCGGCGTCGTGAAGCTGTGCGACCTCGGGCTGGCCATGGACACGGCGGCGCGGAAGCCGCCGTACCAGAAGGCCGGATCGCCCGGGTACAAGGCGCCGGAGATGCTCCTCGGGAAGCCGGACTACGGCGAGCTCGTGGACGCCTGGTCGGCCGGCTGCGTGATGGGCGAGCTCCTCGCCGGCGTGCCGCTGTTCCGGGGGCACAGCGAGACCGACGAGCTGCTGAGAATCTTCCGCCTGCTCGGCGCGCCGTGCCGCCAGACATGGCCGAGCTACCCGTCGCTGCCGCTCTTCGGCGCGGTGCCGATTTGCCGGAGCTGGGACTGAAACCGGCTGCGCGACCTGTTCCCGGAGGAGCGCCTGTCGCGCGACGGGTTCGAGGTCTTGAACGGCCTCCTCACCTGCAACCCCGACGCGCGGCTGTCGGCGGCGGAGGCGCTTCGGCTTCCGTGGTTCAACGCCACCGTCGACGGCATAGCAGCAGCTGATGAGACGAAGATCGGTCAGCCGGCGGCGTCCCCGAGGCAGGAGCCGCCGCCGCTGGCGAGCTTCGCCGCTATCCCTTGTGGTGATTATGGCACCGGCTTTGCCGGGTAGGCGAGAGTTTGTGGAAGTGATGGTCTTTCAAATATTCTTGTACATGTACATTTGTAAATTGTAATGCAAAATGCAGAGTAACTCATTCTGTTTAGTCCTCGAGATAATGGAGTGCCTTTTTGTAGTGTCCATTCTTTATATATACTTCTGCTAGACAATTTCATCCAATCGCTGTACTGTATTATATATGGCTGTACACATCCAAGTAACCAATCACATGCGGAAAATACAGGCAGTCTTTCAATAAGTTACAATAAATCATCATGAAGTATATTATCCAGGATAAAAACAAAGGACACCGCGAAGATAATTAAACACAGTTCTCAGGCAACAGCTGCATTGGAAGTGTCTGATGGTCACGCCGAAACATAGAGAGCTTAGTTCACCTGACAAAGCAGCTACATCATGTTACATGATTTACAATAAAGAGGATCGATCAAAATTTTTCTCGCATACATCACATAAGCGTCAAATTGTGTCCCAGAGGCCAGAGATGGCAGCAAGATGCTCAAGAAGCATAGTACATCACAAATGATTCAGCTATACAACGTTGTTCTGTTTTCCCTAACATAATGCATGTCAGAAGCGTCTGAGAATACATAAAATTGGTACTCATTTCACAAGAGTAGCTTATGAATTATATTTTCTGGTAAAAGACAAAACAAACAACAAGAAAAAGAACATATCACTACACCTTGACTACATAAAGCAAGCAACCCCAAATGTAGGTTTTGATCTACTCAAGGCAAACCACCTCTTCCAAGTAAATACAAGTCGTTGCCAAAAGATTCAGTATACTCATCCAGTGTTCCAGTCCTGCCAGTGAAGAAAAGTTTCAGGCCACACATGAATAATCATGATTGTTCTGAAGGAAGCTCGCTGAAACATAAAAAATAAACTTCGAACCTCAAACTGTGCTGCTAGCCAAAGAAAGCTCATGGATTTCGGTTAACATCCACTCTTCTCCAGTTTGTCCTCCAAGCACTATTGCTTTTGTTCCTCCAACAACACAGGTGCTGTGGCCCCAGGCAAACCGTGGGGGTCGCCCAGGAACATTCAGTATCCTCCAGGTAGGCTTTTCTTCAGTTGGATCCAAGAGATAAAGCTGTGACGCTGAATGAAGACCTGCCACTGATCCACCAAATATCAAAACTCTCCCCCCAGGTAAGCTGACAGCAACATGATCAAGGCGAGGAGGTGGACCAGCTCCGGCTGGATTTCCTGCCCCAGGCATTCCACTACCGGTGAGGCACCGCCAGCAGGGTTCCTCTTCACTTAAGTCCATTGTGAACACATCACTTGACCGGAGTCGCAGTGGACCACTCTTAGCAAGACCACCAAACATCAAAATTTTCCTGCCACCATAGACAGACATTGAGTGGCCCAATCTCGAAGGTGGCGTCCAAGATGCAGGTACCTCCCTCCACACAGGTTTGTCCATCGTTACATCAAGAAGATATGTATCACTGAGTAGTACACCTGAGTCTGCACAGCCACCAGAAACCACCAACTTCGTCCCATCTAAAGTGCAGGAGCTGTGCCATGAACGTGGAACTGGTGGTGCAACTCCAGGAATCTCGCGCCAGGTCGGCTGTTTTGCATCCAAATCCAATGTGAACACGTCATTAAGCAGGCCCTGTCTTCCACATCCACCAAACACAACTAACAGCGATCCATTTAGGCATGATAGGGTATGGCCCCAACGGCCAGGAGGAGCTGAGCTTACATTGACATGCCTCCATTCTGGATTGCTAGCATTCAAATCCAACACAAATGTGTCATTCATTGGTTGCATGTTAACACCTTCCCCACCAAAGAGAACAACACGATTCCCTACAGCACAGGCACTGAAGTTACATCGAGATGGCTCCACGGCACCCCCAACTGTCAACTTCCTCCAAGCAACAGCTTCCAGTGTGGTCAGCTCTCTTGCCAATCGACCCCAGCCTAATCTTTTTGCCGCAGGGACAGTCTCAAGAGCTCGAGTAGTCTCACTGCCCCATGCATTCTGACAAACCATTCTCCAAAGATCTTCATTTCTTGTCAAGAGATACAACCGCCTACACACAGAGCTAACAGATGCTATATCTCTTGGTGACAACCTTGACAGGATACTCTGGCAGAGTACTTCATCAGTCAACTGGAACAGGCTAGAATATTCCCGGCAGAAGTTGCTCTGCCCTGGTCCAGTGGATATGGGCCGGAAAAAGTTATCTGGAGTAAATCTTGTAGATCTGACAGGTTCCTTCGTCAATGAGCCAGGCAATGGTCCCAAATCAACATTAGCATTGGTGAAGAACTGAATGCCCATGTAATGAGTTATGGTCTCATCATCTCCATATATAGGGGTCAGGTGTAACTTGTTCATCAATGGAGAGCCATCTTTCCTGAAATTTAGCAAATCACCACGGAATTCGGTACCATTGTCTATGCATTTGCGAATCTCAGAAACCACCATGGCATCAACTAGGGGATGTCTCCTTTGCGCAAAGGGTCCTCTGCATTGCAGGAATCGGCTGAAAGTGGGAAAGAAACATCAGTGTGTAAGAATGTCAAGAAAAGTACATAAAGAACAAGTAAGTGTGTACTAAGTAAAACACATAGAACAATTTAAGAAATATGAGTGAAAAAAATGTGAACCACACTTGCAAAAATCCTATGCTACTTTCAGTTGGCGAGTGCCATTTCCAACTACTTTTGAGCACAAGTCTCCGAGGAAATTCAAAGTGTTGTAAGCACCACTCAGTCTCCCTTCTCACAAAAGCACATTGGTACTAGATGCTGTGTTAGCTCAGTTTTCATGATCTTTTTGATGTGAACAACGATGTAGAAAAATTCAGCAACAGAATATGTTCTTTCCAAAACTTTTTTCTGATGCCACCAAAAATTTGACCCTTCATATGCGAACAATGTGAAAATTTTCACTCATATTCATAGGGCGTAGAGTAAAAATATCTTGGGCAGGTTTCTGAATTAATAAGAAAGAACATGTGCATGAGTTGGATGGCTAATAACCACATCTGAATTTGACTTCACACCATAAACTTCATCCCAACTGATACTTGATGCTAAATGTTTAGCCAGTGTGTTGTATACTTGTATTGAATAATTGTGATAGTAATAGTGGAGAGGTAAGTGCTAAACTGCTACCACGAATGTAGGATAAGATAAATGATTAATAGAAGTGCATCATAGGCCAGTAGTCCCCTAGACTTGCATGGGTGTATCACATGGCTCCTTGACCTTGGGAGTTGCATTTTGATCCCTAAACGTGTAAAGTGAACCAAGCAAGTTAATCCTGGTGAGGTATCTGAATAATACTCTTCAAAAAAGGGAGATTTTTTTTTTGGCACAAGCATGTTGTCAAACCATGTGCCTAATAACAAAATAACTTCACAGCACTTCGACTCCACTAGAAAGTTAGTGAAGATGAAAAACAACAGATAATCAAAATATGCAAAAACTACACACGCTTACATGATCAATCTTTGTAAACTTAGACAAACAATTGTTGCAGTGGTATATTTGTTCCATCACATAAAGTAGTACCCACTTGATTTGCTTTCCTATGTATCTTATCAATCAAACCTATAGTTGAAATTTGATATTAACATGTTCTAGTAAGAACCATAGATCAAAGTAGACTTATTTTTTAATATAGCATTTAGATATGCATGGAAAAAATCCTCTCTCCTTGGAGGTAATATCAGGGGGGAAAAGCTTAGAGGTTTCTGGTATATGAACTTCAAGATCCAAGGTGTTGACCAAAAAGGCAAAAAGAACATTGCTGCAATATATTATAACATGTCACGGTTTTATCATTTCCTATGTCCACGGATATCCTATTTTTTGGGGTTTGATCGCTAACAAAGATGGGGGACCAAGGGGAAGCCAGGAATTGGGGCCACAATATCCATTTCCATTTAATACTTTTCTTTGTTCTACCTTGTGTTAATGTGTTAGACCTATGGACCTCCTTTCATTCAGTTCAGGCTAACAATCTCAAAATAACTTTTCACAACCTTTAGGGAAGTCTTATTTCAGATACTTCGTTAACTGAATCAGTTCCATCATTTTCTTTACATAGAGATCATTCCATTGAATAATTTATTTTCATTTTATGGTATAAGTAGCATAAGTTCCAACTACCAACAAGCAATAGCTATTCTTCCTTAAGGATATAACAACATAATCAATGTTCTAAAAATTGCCTGACTAGCCTACCTATGTGCTAAGAAGCACCCTCCTCCCTAGGGCCACCCAGCCAATTTATACTGCCTCAGACCACCTAATCACTAACTAGGCACATGTTTGCAGCCTAAAATGCTCTTAGTGTTTTTTCCTCTTTATTTCTTTTCTTGAAACAAAGGTCTAGCAGTTAGCGTGTTGGTGAACACAAAATATAGCATGCTATTAAACAAGCCTAGAGTCAGATAAAAGAAACTAGCAACAAAATTAAGTCATATTTACTGGTAGCATTAGAAAGAAAATTTCTGAGCCAAGCAACACAAATCAAGCATCATGTTCTTAAAACTAGTATTGCCTCAAGATGCAGTTCACTAAGTCTAATCTACAAAGTCAATCGATCCTAAGCCAAACTTCACCCAGATCAGGATGCAACAGGTCATGATACCCTATGGTGCTAAGTGCTAATTTCTATTTTATCTGGTCCATTAGTGCCATCAGCTATCCGTAAGCTATACTAGTGAAAAAAAAAACATACTAGTTCTTATTTTTTTTATAGACAAAATGGACACAAGTAATCGCTGGGAATACTAAAAATGACGAAAGGGCTGCACCGTTTGTCATTTAATTCAAAAGATCATGCTCACGGCGTGATTAAATCATATAAAATGCAAATTATATTCGATCCTAAGTGCCACCAATTCGAACGCCCAAATCAAACAAGTCGAACCAATAACTGAGACATATGCGAGATTGATATGAACCAACCAGTTCCTGCCGAGCACCTCCTCCGCGCGGTATCCCGTGGCCTCCTCGAACCCGCAGTTGACGTAGATGATGGGGCAGTCGGGCTCGAGCGCGTCGGTGACGACGAGCCCGCACGGCCCCGAAGCGCGCAGCATCCCTTCAATCGCGAACGAGAACATCCCTCCGCCGCCGCCCCCACCACCACCTCCTCCCCCAAAACCACCCTCCTCCTCCTCTTCCTCCTCCTCCTCCTCCTCGCCGGCGCCGATGCTGCCGGCGCCGTCCGACTCGCTGTCCCACTCCATGGGCAAACTCGCGGCCCGAAACCCTAGCTCCGGATCCGAGCTCCCGCGCCGCCGCGGCTCATCCCATGGCGCGCTGCTGCGCGACCGCGCGCGTGTGCGTGTGCGTGTGCGTGTTGGGGATTAGGGTTTGGTGGCTCGCGATTGGATGAGAGAAGAGGAGAAGAGGAGGAGGAGGTTTCGAGAGGAGGCGGAAATGGGCGGAGGTGGTGGGTTCGGGCTTGGGTTTGCTGCTGCTGTCGCTGGAGAGGAAGAGGTGAAAAAACCCAACGAGTGGACGGGAAACCGACCTTGCCGTGCACTGGACGAGGTCCAGTGCGGTCGATCCGCGCCGTTGGATTTGGTCGGCCGGGGTACGTGGACGGTGGAGATCGGCGGTTTCCGGAGCACGGATCGAAGTTGGTTGCTCTCCCCCACGGACACCAGATGAGAATGCCCACCGGAACCGCCGTGGCCGGTGGTGAGCCTGTTCCTTTGTGCTGGTACCTCGCTGGGTGTACAACACAGCATGGTCATACCTTTCCTATAGGTAATAGAATTGATGACAAATGAAAACTTTTTCATAATAAATGGTATATATTAATGAGACTTTCGTTATGATTTGTCATTGTACACAAGAACATTTGGTGGTACATTATAAGGTTAGGAAAAGTCTATACATACTAACTTTTTTTTACTAAATTCTTACTAACACTGATGTGTCATGCTATGAGTGCATCTAGATTTTTTGTAACTTCCATCTACTTAAATCAAACGGTTGAGATGATTGTTAGTAAAAGTTTAGTAAGAAAAATTTAGTACGTGTAGCATTGCTCTAAAGGTTATAGCTATAAATAAAACAAGTTTTCTAGCAAAAGTACTGTACAACAACTACTACTTATGACGATAGCTAAAACGATTGATGGAACTTATATTTTAGAAAAAGTAAAATATATGCAATGAAAGTTGCGTATAAAAAGTTCGACAACGGTTGAAATCAATAAAACTTTTTTTTTATAAAAGAGTATAACTCCACAACACTAAATATATGATTTGTAGTTTATCTAAAAATATTTGTTTGCCCTATATCACAAAGGTCAATAAATAATATCCCATCCTTTTAATATTTTTCTTCTTTCTGGATGTCATGTGATGTTGAGTCTTGTCTATATTCTTAAAAGAGACTTTAACCATTTTTGAGGGGTACACTCACATTCGACCATTAATTTCTAAACAATAGGATCGACATTAGAATACTTAAAAACAATAATCAAATCTGCAACCGGTCCCTGCCTTTATGCAACCTTTTGTCTTCCTTCTCCACACCATAGGCGTGGCTCGCCTCCTCGACATTGCCACTGTCTTCTTGGTGACATTCTTGCTAGACAATCTCAATTGTTGTACTTTCTTTTCTAAACCATAGTTTGTCCCTATAATTAAAATTGTAGCTTAATATACTACTATGAACAAATAACTTCACATCACAACCTCCCCTTTTAGCCCTTTCCCTCTAGCAATATATTAGTTCACTTGAAACAAATCCCTCTAACGATATGTTAGTCCACTTGAAACAAATAAGCATTTAGATTTAGAATGAATGCATCAAAAGAAAAAAAAATCATGGTCGTAGATTTAGGCCCTGTTTAATTCAGCTTAGGATTATTATAATCTAGCTTATTAGGAGTAAGCTGAAACAAACAAGTAGATTATTAAAGCAGATTATTATAATCTATAAGCCAGATTATTATAATCTAATAAGCTGCTCTAGATGAGCTTTTTTCAGATTATTGAGTGGCTAAAAACCCACTACCCCTACATACTTGAGAAAGATTACCCACCTATGCCATCAACCGAACAGATAGCTGAGGGCATTATAGACTTTAGCCTTTCAAACCCAATGATCCATGCCTCCAATAATCCAGACAAACAAACAACTCATAGCTTATTCTATGTCAGTTTATTATAATACAACTTATAGTAATCTGGTTTAATAATCTAGATTATAATAATCATAAGCTGAAACAAACAGGGCCTTAGCCTACCCCTATGACAACAATATAGCATCCAATAGCTACAGCTATAAACACCAAAGATTGATGTGACAATTGTAAAATTACAAGAATTTAAATCCTTTTGATTCATTTGATGATGTAAACTCATGTTTGCTACGAAAACAGGCACTAGAGCCCCTCACTGAAGATGAGAGGGAGAGGAAATCACGACGCCCCAAGCTCCAAACCACTGCCATCGAGCTTTTAATAGCGGTTGAGGGTGGGCTTCCTTGAGTCTGTGAGTGCCACCATTGGGAATTTCCTTGAGACTTTGAGCGCTGCCACCAGGGGCTTCCTCGAGAACTAGAGTGGCGCCATCAACATCAATCTATTCTAGCTATCTCGGGATTAAGGGGTTGTACTAAAGTATTGATCGTCATATGATATAAAGGGGTTAAAACTAAATACTACAAAGCTAGCCTTGATAATATTGCCCTCTTCATATAGATATGGCCGTATAGGTCTAATTGTAAGATAGTTTAGGATCATAACTTATTTGGTATAATCTACAGGTGATTATCGTAAAAACGTGTCACGGCTCATGTGGAATATAGTTTGTGGGATTTTCTCCTGCCCATTGTGCAGTGAAACATGGAAAAGATGCATGCAAGACTATTTTTCATCACTTGGTGGTGTTTCAATCCATACATGCCATCAAACAAGAAACTAGGACATATACGGCTTTGCATATGCCTCCTATGTCTACTATGCATATGCCATCTATGCACGGTCGACGACATGAGCCATTGGGTCATGCGTCTGTAGCGTTGCAAAACTCTTATAAATCTCAACCTTTTGATTTAAATAGATGAAACTTATAGAAAATCTATATATACTCATCGTGACACATGGTAAGAGCTTACTAAGACAAAATTTAGTATATACAGACCTTTTCCTATAAAGTCAATGAGCAAATTTGTCAACAAATTTATAGCAAAAACATAAGGCAGATGCGGACTGAGGATGAGGCTCCTTTGACATACGTCAGAGAAATATGGGCCACTGACGTGTGGGCCCCACCTAATCAAGGACACGCTGCGTCCGCAGACGACCTCGTCCAGCTTGTGCGTCAACGCTGGCCCAAGCCGGCCCACGAAACAATCACAACGACACAAACATTTATTAGCTGGGCTTTCACTGTGCAGGTGGGTTGCTCGAACTGTCCAGTCCGGCGTCCGCCGCCGATGGCCCCTCCCGCCGCCGGCGCGGCGATCCCCCGCGACGCCCTCCTCCGCATCGCGGCGCCGCTCCGGGACTCCCTCGCCGCGGCGCCCTACGCGCCTCCGGAGGGCTCCTCCACCTCCACCAAGTCCCTCCTCTCTTCCCTCCTCCCCTCGTCCCATCCCCAGGCTCCGGCTGGCGGCGGCGGGGCCCGCAGCAAGGAGGCCGCGGGCCTCCTCCTCTTCTGCGCCGCCGCGCGCGCGGCCTCCCCGGAGTACCCCGCGCTGCACTGGGTTCCCGTGGCGCTCTCTGACGCTGCCGCCGCCGCGGTGGAGGAGATGGCGGCGGCGGGCGGCTGGGGCGATGTAGGGGAGATGGTGGTGGGGATGATGCCGGAGGTGGTGCCGCCGCTGAAGGATGTTGTGAAGGCCACGTGCGTGGACACGGAGGATGAGGAAATTGGCAAGGAGAAGCCGCCCAAAGAGCACGCCGTTGTCGCCGCTCACCAGTTCAGGTGGCTGGTGTCTCAGGTTTGTCCATGGTGGATGTTACAGAAGAACTAGTTTTTAGCATTCGATGTGTTGTTATCCTTTGGAAGAGTTGTAAGAATTGGTTAGTAGCTTATGGCAATAGAATTTCATACTTGTGGTAGAACAAAAAGTCGAGATGGAATATTTTACGCTGCAAACTTGTAGTAGTAGCAGCACAACTACAGAAGCATTAGTAAGTGAAGATATGACCTTGGGGATCTAGAGGTTCACTTCAGTTTCATGTATGGATGTTTCAGGTTACTTATCCTAAGCTTGGCGACTTGTGTTGGCTAGTGATTCCGTGTGCTTTGACTGCCTTGGACCATTGGTCACCGGAAGTTAAGGTACGTGCTCTTTTATCTGTTTGGTTTATCTGTTGCAGATAATACTAGAGTAGGGGTTCTAGTGTGTACAGCAATTCAAGCTTTAGTTCTGTTAATGAGCCTTTTTAAGTGACATTGCTCCATATGCTTACAGGAACAGGGAATGGTTAGCTTCATGCACATAGCAAAGAGTGTGAAAGCAACAGAATTAAATTTGTATGAAGATGCAATACTTGACGCATGCTGCCATAACATTCCCGCCGATGATGAGTTGTGGTATCGCGCTGTTGAGGTATCCGTGCTTTTGTTGACTTGCACTCAAAGAAGTAATCCACGTAGCCCTTGGTGCGGTTTCTTTCTAGCTCTTTATATTGTTTTTGTTTGTCATCTACTTTGAGTACAACTACTATTTCTACCTCTACAAACTCAGAACAAATAAACCTTACCCTGGCATGGAGTATAGGTAGTTAGGAACAGATATGATTATTATGATTTGCATCACTGTGGTATCTTTTTTTTTTGCCCCTTTGCACCAAAAAATGAAGATGAACCAACTAGGGAGTACAAATCAGGTCCTGAACTTTCCTGATGATTTGGAATTAGCATTTATGTAAGAGTGTAAAACCTAGAAAACTGGTCTTTCTTTGAGAAATAAGTATAGATAAAGATAACTTCTATAAAGTAATTTGAGATACAGGAGGTGCAACAATTTCTCTATTAATGGAGAACATAAAGGTTGTTGTCTGGCATAATATTTGTTTTGCATTTTTTTTACCTGGAAACTGTTTTGCTTATATTTCATTGATGGAAAAAATCTAAGACCCAAACATTGGTCACTATTAGAGAAGGCAAGGACAGAGAAAACTTTGACACCGCCATAAGTTTAGTGAGCTATCTACTGGTTGATATTTTGGATTCTTAATATGAGTCACGCAATAGCCTTAGTAGATATTGACATGTTGTCCATGTGTAGTATGAACATCCAAAAAATCTCTCTTATTTTCCATCAACTTCAGTTCTTTTGCATTGGTTCCAGGTATGATCGTATGCTAGCTGAGATGTTGGGCCACCTGGAGCGGCAACCATTAAATAAAAAACGCCGTGTTGCATGGCTTACCCTTATTGGGCCAGTTTTTGAAGCTATGGGCCTCTTCCTATTAGCACATTTTCGTCTCCTTTTCTCTCTCTTCTTTCAATGGATGCATGCCGATGATGACAAGACAGTTCTTCTGGTAAGGAATTTTTACATATCGTAGATAAAATAAACTTATATGACCATTAGGTAACATCAGTGATACATTCTTTTCCTTCCTTTTTCTGTAAGATAACCATACCGATCAAGCTTATTTATGTGTTAACCATTTGCAGGTCTTAGAGCGAATCCATGAAGTTATTAAGCTCACATGGATCAGGAAATCACCTTATACTTCAAGGTATTAGGAAATATGAGTTATGAGTTACTTCTTTTAATGCCCTCTTGCTCTGCTTGTTATAATATGATGATCAAAAGCTTATGTTATTAGCTAATGAAGGTGAGTTGCAACTCATGCTGTGCATATTTAGGCTGGTGGATGAGCTTGTCCTTTTATACAAAGAGTCAGCCACAAGGAGCAGCCGTGAGGTCGTGTGGAATCACATCCTGGAAATGCTCGCTACACTCCAGAAGTAAGATATTCTCATTTGGTAGCAAATACCAGTATTTACATGATGGCATCACATGCATGTATGCCATGCAGTCAGACTCACTGTTTCAGATTTCATTTTGTTCAGAGTAATCCAGACTAATATGAGTTCACATCTTCTATCTCTTTAAGGAGCAAAATCTTAGATTGCATTGTATTGCACATTTTACACTAAGAGAAGTTACTATTGAACTTGCCCATTCAGCATATGCATACGGTATATGTTCAGTAGAAATTCATTGTTTGCTGGGGAGTACTGACTACCGAGAAATGATGCAAATTGGTGCAACTTTTAAATCCATCACAGTTAAATATTGTTTGGCCAAAAAACAGAGCACCTCAAGCCCTCTTACTGTTCCTGGAGGTGGAGATACCCTGGAACATAATTCAACTTGCATTATGTACCTATTCTGATAATAGAAAATTCATTTATAGTTGCATTTCACCATTGGTGCTTACAAGATATCTCTGACAGCAAGCTATCCTCATGCAGATGCAAGGGGCAGCAATTTGAGGAAGCTTGGAAGAAGCACGAAGTTGACCCAGACTTGACGATGTTGCTATCATGTTTCAATGAATTATGTACCAAAAATCATTCTTCCTGATTTCCAGTGTGACTGGTATTCTTGTTGTAAATACTAGCTGTTAGATGAAATTGAGCCTTGAAAATCTTGGCCGTTGGTCCCTTCTCTTTATGAGATTTCTTTACCATGGAAATTCGAGTTCGAGCTATCTAGTCAGATGCCCTTACGCTTTCTCTGTTTTCTTTTCAACGTTGTTGCTCTTGTTTTTGCTTTTCGATTTGCTCATTTACTGTCCTGTCCACCGGAGCCATCTCGATCATTAATCTCCCTTAATAAAGCTGCCATATATGTGTCACTTTCTCCTAACTCGGGATAGTTGATACTCCCTCCCTCCTGGAATAGAATAGAATTGGATGGGACGTATCCTAGCATTACGAATCTGGACTGTCCAGATTTTAGTTTGCTATATTATGGGACGGATACGAACTTGGACAGAGGGTTGTCCAGATTCATAGTACGGATACATCTTATCCAATTTTAGATTGCTATTTTCTTGGACAGAGAGAGTACATATTACTAGTACATAGTAAGTCGTAATGTAGTAGTAGCATATAAATGCTAGTACGACTGACTGTGACTGATACTACATACTCCCTCAGTCCCAAAAAAAAGTCAAACCCTGGGTTTCCGTGTCCAACGTTTGACCGTCCATCTTATATGAAATTTTTTTATAATTAGTATTTTTATTGTTGCTAGATGATAAAATATGATTAATACTTTATGCGTTACTTGTCTTTTTTTATAATTTTTTCAAATAAAATTCTCTGAGCAGATGAACTCAGAGAGAAGAAGCCTCAAAATTAGCTCCATCATCTTCGTCTCAGCTTCTGCATGACGACACACTCTCCAGCCTCAGGAGATCTATGGCGCATCCGCGAGACTCAGTATCTGCGGCTCCAGGTACATCCCATGGTAGACGAGCCTCGACATCGCCCTGTACGCCGCCTGCGTCATGTGTACCCCGTCCCAGCTCACGTACTTCTCCGGCTCCGCGCACGCCGCCGCCCCCTCGGCGCCGCACATCCTCCTCGGGTCGTAGTTGTACTCGCCGCCGCCGGCGCCGCAGCACGCCCTGCGCGCGCTGCCCGCGTCGAAGCCGAGCTCGCCGGCGGCGTCGAGGAGGGCGAGGAAGGAGTTGAAGTAGTCGGCGTAGGCGACGGCCGCGGCCGGGTACGACGGCCGGAGCTCGTCGGCGATGGCGCGCCGGAGCCTCGCGTTGTGCTTGGCGGCGAAGCGGTTGAGCTCGCGCAGGCAGCCCGTGGCGTCGTAGTCCGACGGCTCGGATGAGCGCTTGCTGGTCAGGTAGGTCGGCATGCAGCCGATGGGGAAGTTGCCCGGGATGATGACTCTGTTCGCGCCCATTTCAAGAACTTCCTGTGAAGAGTGATGCAGCAATTCGACAGAAAGTTAATTTTATCTTGTTTTTAACTATCTTTGGCTTAATTAATTACTGCCTCTGTTTTATATTATAAGTTATTTTTTAACTTTTTTTCCTGGTCAAACTTTTATAAGTTTAATCAAATTTATAGAAAAATTTAGTAACATTTAAAACATCAAATTAGTTTGATTAAATCTAGCATTAAATATATTTTGATAATATATTGTTTTGAGTTGAAAATGTTATTATGTTTTTCTATAAACTTAGTCAAACTTTTTAGAGAAAATGTCAAAAACGAATTATAATATGAAACGGAACGAGTATATCACTGTTTCTAAATTACTGTGAAAGATGATATTTGATACCTTGGCTGCATCTATGATGGTCCGAACGACACTTGGGATTAGCTTCTCCACTTCGCTGACACTTTTTCCAAACAAGGCGTAGTTGTAATCGTTCCCTCCAATCTCCCCAATCAAAACCAGAGAAGACTGGAGCCTCTTGCGTATATCTGCAGACACAAATGTCACGTGTAAATATTGTCGCACATGACACAGGTAAAACTGCAACATTTAGTAGTACTTGCTTATTTCATTTCAAATCAAATATATTGGTTTCAGAAAAAAAAATGAACGAAATTGATCAGGGGAATTGCCTTCTTCAGTGCTGAAGGTGGACTTCATGAAGTCCTTGAACCACCTAAGCTGCACATTAAGGGAGTTAGAAGAGAAAGGCGCGAAGAATCTCCCGTTGAACTGATCGGTAGGGTCCATTGCAGTGGCTCCAGCGACGGCGAAGTTTACTCCATGGTCGAAGCTCTTGTTCTTGCCCAGGTAAGGGTTCAGAAATGGAAGACCCAGGTCCTGAGCTGCATGCACAAAGAGCTCAATGTCACAAAATGCAAGCTAATTACACAATTAATCCTGTCATTCTGCAGATATCTTGAAAACTAATGCATCAGTTCAGAGTTCTGACTTCAGAAAGATGAGCAATTCAGTCAGTATTCAGAGTTTCAGACATTCAGTAGTTAACTGTGCATACCGAGGAAATCGATCATGAGGAGGCCATCAGAGCAGCGTCCAGTCGGGTACCCAAACGTGATGCCATACGGGAGATGCTTGATGGTCTCAAACATGCCAGGAGGCGCCTCCTTGATCAGATTCCCGGTGTCAGTGATGGAGTCACCAAGGCTATAGATCGCAGTTACATCACTGCTATTACCAGCAGCATCAGGAGCTTGTCCATGACAGCAACACAAGTGTAAAGCCACAAGCACAGAGAAAGCAAAGTAAGCTGCAGAGGAAGCCATGCAGAGTTGATCAGTAAACTACTACTGAATGTTTTGGAAAGAGATCGATTTGTCGATCGATTGATGGCGAGTTCATGCTTGGCAAGAGCCATTTTATATGCGGGAGAAGATGGATGGGCGATGTGGCGCACCACCGCAGGTTCTAGAAGCGCATGGATTGGTGGAAGCTTTTCTTCTTCTCCCAGACGGCATGGTCGGCTGCGTGCGCGGAAGCTTTTTCTAGGGCTTTTTTGAGCGCATGCTTTTGTCACCTTGTAAGTGAAAAGAATGTGCCATAGAGTGTGATCCTGCCCAAGATTATGGGGCCTCCTTTTGACAGTCGTTTTGACCACAGAGAAATTACTTCAGGAAGAATGGCATGTTGGGATCCCAGTTAGTTTATTAGGAAAGAAAGGAATTTATGATGGCTAAGTTAATACTCCATCAGTTCCAAAAAAAAGTCCAATCCTGAAAATGTATTAAGACGTACACGTTGTCCAGGTACATTATCAGGATTGGTATTTTTTATTGGATAGAGATTAGTTCTTAGCAAGTTGTACTATGTTGGACAGTGTATCTGTCCAACATATGCACTATTCACCGTAGTGCTAGAAAATGCTAAGTTGATTGGCATCTCCTTCCTTTTCTTTTTCTTTCTTTTTTTCTTGCCTAACATGATTCAGAAAAATGCTTCAACTGGTATCACCTCACAGGCAATTAATAGTGCATTTCACGAAAGAAAGGCTTTCTCATGGTTAAGGTTCTTGGCAGGTTTCACCTATGTTGGACAGTGTATCAGTCCAACCATGTTACTAGAAATGCTAAGTTGTTTAGTGTCTTTTTAGATCTACATGATGAAAAAAAAAACTCATTAGTCCAACAGAATGGATCTTAGGCAGGCAATGGTGCATCCTGATGTGTACTGACACTATATATGTAAATCTGACAAGATTCAGAAAATTCTGCAACTGAATGTGAGTTCTGATGTGCAATAGTGTTCAAATGATGGTTCATGCACGCTCGAGCTAAGTGGAGGATCGGTGCTATGCCCTTTTCATCTTTAAGATATGATATGGCGGCGAATGGATGATAGATTTGTTCACTGTGCAGAAACAAAATCTTGTAGGTTATTGGAGACAGTTAGAGTGCGAGAATCTTTGCATTCCTTCGATGGGCATTGATAGGTACATTTGATATGGTCGGCTGCTTGGGAGGCGAATAATTGATTTTGTCTTGGAGGTGAAGTGAATTTAGTGGCTTTGTATATTTGGTCACAAAATGTCACTAGCATGTAAAGAAGATTGGGTGATCAGGGAAGGCTTGGATCATGTGCATGCAGCAAATAACAGATTCGATCACTCGAGATTTCGATTGGGCGATGGAGATGAAGAGAAAATGAACCAGGAGTTCTGAGAAGAAGACGCCGGTGAGCGACATACATGTCGATTCACAGAATCAGAAAGAACCTGACCAAGAGCTTCGCTGTTGTCTTTTTGCTTGCACGCGCGCACACACACCTGGCATGCATGCCTGGTTTGGCGTCAAAATAAACCTGGTATTTACAATATAGGCTGTGTTTAGATCCAAACTTCAGTCCTTTTCCATCACATCAACTTGTTATACACACACAATTTTTCAATCACATCATCTCCAATTTCAACCAAATTTCAAACTTTGAGCTGAACTAAACACAACCATACTTCCTCCGTTTCACAATGTAAGTCATTTCTAGCATTTCCCACATTCATATTGATGCTAATGAACCACATTCATATTGATGATATCTATCTAGATTCATTAGCATCAATATGAATGTGGGAAATGCTAGAATGACTTACATTGTGAAATGGAGGGAGTACTACTATATCTGTTCCAAAATCACATCCTGATTGATTCGTAATAGTAGAATAGGACATGTTACCATATTACTAGATGGAAGGAATATTTTTTTAACGATATATTTAAATTATGTTCTTATGGGTTGTCTTACGGGTTGTGACTGCGCTGTCCCGTGAAATAAATTTTTTTAGCCCGAATGAATCATACTGTACTGAAAAGTTCAAGTTTGTAATTGCAAAGGTAAAGGAGAGATGTACTTGATAATGTAATGTAGTGGTAAGAGATGTGTGGTTTCAACCCTAAGATTTTGTGTTCAATCCTCAATATGTTTATGTTTGGAGGGATGTCTCTCTCTTCAAATATATTTTTAAAAAAATCGTAAAGAAAAGTTTTAAGTTTGTTTTTTTTTTGACACGAAGTTTTTAGTTTGGTTAGAAATGCTATGAAACAAGTCGCTCATTCGGATGAGGCCATCAGGAGCCCAAGAAAGTACTGGGCCAGCACGGTTTCAGCAATGGATCCTGCGCCGGCCCAGGACGCGGTGGAGATGGGCCGTCAAGGCTCTTCTGTCTTCCTCCTTTGTCCTCCCGTTGCGTCGTGCTCCCGCAGCCTCGCGAGTCGCGACGCTTTTGCCGCCGCGGCCACCAAAAACCGCGCGTTGCCAAAGCCAATCTACCGAACCCGTCTCCTCGCCATGGCGCCGCCGCCCCGCCGCCTCACCTCGCCGCCGTGACGCCGGCGGCATGGTGCGCCTCATCCCGCGACTCCACGCCCCACCGCCGCCGCCGCCGCGTGTTCCAGCCGGGCTGCCGCTCCCCCTCCTCCCGGCCCCGGCGCTCGCCGCGACCCTCCTCGAGGCCGTCTCCTCCTCACCCTCCCTCCCCCACCTCCGCCACCTGCACGCGCTCGCCGTGCGCCTGCCGCTCCCGGCGACCTCCCTCCCCTTCCTCCTCTCCCGCCTCCTCCGCCGCCTCGCCGCGCTCCCACCACCACCGCACGCGCCGCTGCCGTACGCGCTCAACGTCTTCTCCGCGGTCTCTCCCCCCGACCCCTTCCTCGCGGCGGCGCTCCTGCGCTTCGCGTTCCTCACGCAGCCTCCGTTGCTCCCCTTCCGCGTCTTCTCCCACCTCCGCCGCGCTCACGGCGCGGAGCTCCCGTTCCTCCCGTTCGCTTTCTCCACGCTCGCCAAATCCGCCACGGCCTCCCGCTCTCTCCCCGCTGCCGCAGCCGCACACGCGGTGTCGGTCCTCGTCGGCGGGTTTGATAGGCACCGGTTTGTTGAGAACTCGCTGATCGGTGCTTATGTTGCGTGTGGTGATGTGGGAGCTGCACGCAAGGTGTTTGATGAAATGGTGGAGAAGGATGTCATTTCATGGACAAGTATTGTGGTCGCCTATACCAGAAGCGGGGATATGCGATCAGCAGAGGAGGTGTTTGGGCGGTGCCCTGTGAAGGATATGGTGGCTTGGACAGCAATGGTGACTGGCTATGCGCAGAATGCCATGCCAGTGAAGGCATTAGAAGTGTTTGATCGAATGGCAGAACTTGGCATGGTCATTGATGAGGTTTCATTGACAGGTGCTATCTCAGCTTGCGCTCAGCTTGGTGCTTTGAGACGTGCCGCTTGGGTTCAGGAGATTGCAGAGAGGACTGGCTTTGGGAATAACGTAGTTGTTGGGTCAGGGTTGGTGGATATGTATGCCAAGTGTGGGCTCATTGATGAGGCATCCAAGGTTTTTTATGGGATGCAGGAAAAGAATGTGTACACATATAGCTCAATGATCGCTGGTCTTGCATCGCATGGGAGGGCTAGCGAGGCGATTGCTTTATTCAAGGAGATGGTCAATAGGGCAAATGTGGAACCAAACCATGTTACCTTTATTGGGGTACTGACAGCTTGTAGCCATGCAGGGATGGTGGGAGAAGGTCGGTACTACTTTGCACAGATGAAGGACAAGTATGGGATTATGCCATCTGCAGATCATTATGCCTGCATGGTTGATTTGCTTGGCCGGGCTGGATTGGTGGATGAAGCCCTTGATCTTGTTAGATCAATGTCCGTGACGCCTCATGGTGGTGTATGGGGAGCACTGCTTGGAGCTTGCCGGATTCATGGGAAGAGTGAAATTGCTAAGGTTGTAGCTGAACATCTTTTTAAACTCGAACCAGAGAGCATAGGAAACTATGTGTTATTATCAAATATACTCGCGTCAGCTGGAAAATGGGAAGAAGTGTCAAAGGTTAGGATATTGATGAGAAAGCAGAGACTGAAAAAGGATCCTGCTGTTAGCTTGTTTGAAGGCAGAGATGGTTTGGTCCACCAGTTCTTTGCTGGTGATAATGCCCACCCAAGGACACATGAAATAAAGAAAGCATTGTTGGAGTTAGTGGCAAAGCTAAAACTTGAAGGTTATGTACCCATTTTGAGTTCAATTGTTTATGATGTGAACGATGAAGAGAAGGAAAGGCTGTTGATGGGTCATAGTGAGAAGCTTGCTTTGTCGTTCGGTTTGCTTACGCTTGGATCTGGATGCACAATTAGGATCATAAAGAATCTAAGGATCTGTGATGATTGCCATTTGTTTATGCAGTTAGTATCGAGAGTTGAATCTGTTGAGATTATAGTCAGGGACAATATGAGATTCCATCATTTCAAGAATGGAGAATGCTCCTGTGGTGGATTCTGGTGAAAGCAGATCTCTATATCAAAATGGCAGAACAGGATCTTGATATGAATGATATGTGGGGTAGATTATTTATTTGACTAGTTTTTGAACATCGGCCACTTGATTCTGAAGAGCAGGATAAACACACTTAAGAATACAGCTTATTGGTTGAGTGCAGTCAATGGCACATCCATTGTACGTTGAAGTATCACACAATGCAGATGTAGTCTGCAATATTTGGGACTTTGGGTAGTAAAGAGCTTGGATATTTGATCGCCAAAAAGTCATATTCATTTTGAAGAATTACCTGAGTACATGGATATGCAGACAAAGAAATGTAAATAAGAAATAACCAATCATGGAAGACCGATATGACGACTGATATAACAACTGCATCAGGAAGACTGAAGTCAGGAACTATTTTGCTCTTTTCAAATTTGATACTTCCTCAGTAATGTTTGTTCTCTTCCTGTCTGAATTGAAGAGAGGACAAACAAGAGCCAAATCGTTGGTAAAGCTCATCATGACATTACAATAATGTGCTCCTAGCAAATCCTAGTTCTGCTACACTCTATGGTTTGCACACAGATCACTCATGATCGAGGCTTAACTCTGATCAAAATTTGGAGGCTAGGTTGCATTGATGATATATCTTGGAAGTGTTGCCTTCCATTGCTAGGACTAGGAGGCTTCTGCTTCCTCTCTTTTTTTGTCATCCAACTAACTGTTCTACAATGCCAGCTTTTTGTCATCGATGCTGACCAGAAGGATTTCTTTCCCTGCTTCCTGAGAAGAGCCAGTGTGGTGCTTTTGTTGCATGCAAACTGGGGCCAATTGTTAGTTTGAGGTCAAGATCATTCTCTACGGAAGGGTCAGAAGCACTCCAATTTTCACCTCCAGTTGATCTACCACCTTCTCGTCTAAATTCTTGTGTTCTTGAGGTTTCTTCAGTGAAGAAGTTTAGGCATGTTGCTGGTTTGTATTCTTGAAGAATTGAATGCTCAGGAACTTGCTCTGGAGCACAGTGTTGTGTGCTACCAAGATGAGCAGATTGGGTTGTCTCTGATGTAGAGGGGCTATTCTTGAGGTTTGACAGGGGCCCTTGCATCATTTCTTGAGTTTCTCCTGTCCTTGATTGAAACCTGTGCTTCTCACCTCCTAGTTCAGCCATCAATGATTTTTGTACACGATATAGTCGATGCAGTTCATGCACCTGATGCAGCAGACAGCGTGAGTTGTAGAGATTTTGTGTGATAGAATGAGAAAACGACTGTAGGATGCATAATAGTTGGTTGACAACTTTTCAGATGAAGGTTTATGCAGCATGAAGAATTGCTAACTTAGTCTGCAGTTGTGCACTATGTTATATTATGGAGCTGGAACAGCTCCTTTGCTCCCATGTAAGATTGTTCTCTACTATGCCAGGCAATTAGTTGCTCTCCTACTATTTCTGAAAAAAAAAAGGAACTGGGACAGCTTGTTTTTCTCACTGAAGGCTGAAAAATGCAAAAGGCTTGACACCTTTTCAGGTATTTGAACTTTGTTTTTTCTCATGTACAATTTCCTCTTTTGTGCTACATTGATATTGAGTGAATCTCGTATTTTATGATAATAAAAACAAAGCCACTCCTTGTTACCTGCTGTCTGAAGACTTCATCATGCTCCATGATTGTTCTCCGAACTGATTCCCTGCTGTCTTGTTTGGATTTCTCCATTGGCTCTACCAAGATGTGGTGTAAATCCTTTTGCCAATTAGCTTTCAGCAATACTTTGGCTAGTTTCTGAATAGAATCTTTACTTTTTATCTCTCTAGTGGTTCTTGTTCCCTCTATCTCCAACAATGAAGAGAGGATTCTATGAAGGCCAAATAAATCAGTAGCCATCCCTGAAACAATCAGAGTGATAGATCATCATAACCTATTTGTCTGCATGGTAAGTTAATTGTCATCTGAAGTGAAACTGCAACTGGAGTTGATTAGACTATTTGCAAAGTAATTGTCATTTTTTTGACTGCAGACTATGAAGGAAAGCGATTCATGATTGTTACTGATGCAAAACAAAATCTCAGGAAATTAAGCAAAGGGAATTCACATGATGATTCACTCACCTGAAAGCTTGCAACTCATGTTCCAGCTGCTTGCCTTGCATTTTCCCTCCCCTTCGGTTACAGGTCATGAACACTTGGAACCTCCATATATTTGCAAGGGCACAGTATGGGACGAAGCTTTCACAAATCTCTCCTCAGCACCCATGACTCATTTCACTTGTCAGCAGTGAAGGTCCTAACTATGAGAGACTTCTGAGGAAGGCAGTTTGGAGTAGGATGTAGCAGCCAGGTGCTCTTTCTCATACTTATGAAGCAAACAACATCCCTTTTTAGAAACAGCAGGAGCCAACCGAAAGATAAGAAAAGGTAGTAAACTAGTAATGCTGAAAAGGTCGACAGGCTGTGTGTGGCTAAGCAGAATGCTAGGGCACGAAAGAAAAAAGGTTCAGAAGCTGAGATCGTTGGCAGGAGGTGAAGTATTTGTTTAACGGTCTCAAGGAAGGATCAGGGAAGTGCAGCAGCCAATCGGAGAGGCAAATCTGGCTGGTTTAATGAAACAAGACAAGGCCAACCTAAAAACATGTGAAGCAGATATTCCACGCAGGCCTTGCCGGGACTAAAGATATCAAAAGGTTTGGGCTAGGTACTTGGCAACTCTTCTCTCTCCCTCTCTATCTCTCTCATAGATAAGCTTGGCCACCCATATCTTCACATGTTTGCAGTTTGCAGCAGAGATCTGGAGATACCATGGGCCCACGGCAATGAGTTATCCTAGGCTGTCCTTCACCGTCGTCACAATCCCAACTCTGGGATCTGCCCACAGCCGCCTCAGAAAAGTAAATTGCAGTTTAAGTTTCCATGTGAGTTGCAAGTCCCTTAATCTGTGTTTTTTTTTTCTAACTTGGACGGCTGGACAGGTTGTTTCTGTACTTCTGCTTCAGCATGTTCCACCCTGCTGCATGCCTTACCAAGATTTATGGACGTCTGGATCTCAGATTAAGCTCTTGTTAACACCTTAATCACACCGACACGGTAAATTTATTATGCGTCTTCTCTTATTCTATATCTCATTCGAGTTGACTGTTATTATTTTTTGCCGTTTGAGTTGACTTAGTACGCTAGCAAGGCTGTTGTTGCTCGATACTTCAATCAGTTCATGATTTGATCTGGTGCCCAGCTGATTCCATGGGAAATCGACTCTGGCATTTTTTAGTTGTATTTGTCTTTGATTGATCAATGTCATGATATCAGCCACACCACATGAACATTATCCATATATAGCTGCTCGATTTTTGTGAAGAGCTTATGTACCCTTCAGATATGGACCCTGGTACACACATAGGATAGTGGCACTGTAGCAGTACAATGTAGGATAAGATTATGCTGCACATCACTTGGCTTTTCAAGATTCTTATGATCAACACCTAAGACTTAATGACGTAGAAAATGATATTAGGCCATGCTACTTACTAGCTACTCTGACTACAAACTACATTCTGTTCTCAAGTGATCTTTCAAACAGAAAAATAAAATACATCCAGTTCTCAATTTTCATCCACAAAATAAGGAATTCTGAAAATCAATTTGCCACTGTTCCTGAAAAGGATTTTCACATGGATAATATATAGCATGACCTAACTCTGACCCTGTGATGTGATTCTTTGTTCGTTTTCTTTCTGAGAAGTTTATCATGGGTTCAAGCGTTTAAAGCTAATGTATGGCATGTATGTTTGATCGTCCGGTCTACATGAAAATTAGTATTATTTGGCATTAGTAATTATTGTATTGTTACATCATTTCTGCTACTCCCTCCGTATCACAATGTAAGTCATTCTAGCATTTCCCACATTCATATTGATATTAATGAATCTAGATAGATATATATGTCTAGATTCATTAACATCAATATAAATGTGGGAAATGCAAAAATGACTTACATTGTGAAACGGAGGAAGTACATCATATTCATGCTGTTTGTCAGGTTAGAGAATCTACAGCTTTTCTTTTTCCAGCAGCTGTGTTAAATACTTGAATGTTGATGTGCTCTCCTCCATATGTTATGCGCATCCGATATCAGACAACCAAATATCTAACTCGGAAAGGAACATTGCAACGTCATGGCCATCCACGTACCACTCAAAGGCAAGCCACTAGCACCAACTACATATATGTGGATAACTTCGAGAACAATCTAATGGTTGTTGTTGCACTCCTAGACCAGGCGTGCAGGCCATATATTGGATTGTTCCTGTCAAAGGAGCAAATACATCAACGGTATAGACAAACTTGCTAATAAAAGGTAGAAACATAGGTAGCTTTATTTTCATGTTTGTTCTTTAGCATGCATAATGGATAATCATTAGCTCATGAAACCTAACTTAATTTACTACTCTCTCCGTTTCACAATGTAAGAGTTTCTAGCATTGCCCACATTCATATAGATGCTCATCTATATGAATGTGGGCAACGCTAGAAATGAGCATCTATATGAATGTGGGCAATGCTAGAAACTCTTACATTGTGAAACGGAGGAAGTACGTATTATATACATAGCTCTCATCCATATATAAACTCAATCAAGACTCTAGAACAATTTGCTCTCCTGTGTATTAATTCTTGATGAGCATGGGAATTTCTTCATGCGTTTGCAAAACACTGTTGCTGTGGTGCAGAGAGGAGAATCAAAATGTAGAAAGATTCCAAATAAGGAGGAGCAGAAGCCAAATGAACGCAAGACTGTCACATACTCTCTTCCAAAGTGCCGACAGGCTACCTGCCGTTAATCCTTTTCATCCTTGTCTTCGATGAGGGAGGAACTGCAGCCATGTACGCAGATGCACTTGGTGGCCAGTAGCAACAAGCAACATCAAACTGGCTGGCTCACTGCAGGGACCACACTGCAGCACACCCGGGTGCACGATTCACACAATTTTTTTGGATATACCGATCAGCTCTTGTCCTGTAGCTCTTGACATAGGATACTATGGGTGTTGCGTTGCGCTCCAACGTCAGTTAAACACATCTGTCAACTTAACTCGCTGATATGCTGCTCATGGACAATCTTTTTTGCATGCTTTGCTGCTTAAAGTCTAGCTTTTTTTCTAGTGGATTGCAAGGAGTGAAGCCTGGTGATAAGCACCTCTTTTCTTTTTCATTTCTCCTGTGTGGATAGATATGGATTATTCCAGCCCAATCCGGATTTATTTGGTTTTCTTTGTCAGCACTAAAAAATCAGTATCCGGGATTTTAGTGTGTTTTCCTTGTCAATCCGACAGTCGGAGTCCTGAATATCGGTATCTACGAGTAGGACTAGCACAACAATGGTTTGAAACCTAAAAGGGGCCACTGGGAATGAGTTCAACTAACCTGCTAGATAGACGCGTATATCACCGTATCAACACCTGATTGAACGAGCATCACTTTTTCACTGCGTGTACATTGAATTTTGAGTTGAAACTTTGCAAAATAAAGTGGAGCATGTTACCATGTTATACATCGCAAATTTTTATCACAATCTTTCATGTTTATTTGACGGCAACTTGAACCCCTAAAATTGTTCTCCAGTATAGTTCGTACATATGAGGCTATTACTAGTTCACTAATGTGGCCCATGATGACTCGGCCGGTTAGACTAGGTCAATGAGCCACGCCAGCAAAAACTAACTAAACTGCCTTTAAACTACGAGGGAATTATTTTAAATCGGTTATAATAGTTGGGAGCCAATATATTTGAGATTGGACCAACCAGTGAGGGAGTCAAAATGAACTTATTCTTACTCTTAAGTACGAGTATTTTGGTAGGACCATGGGCTGTATGGGCTTTTGGCTCGTCCGAAACCAGCTCGCCGGCCCATCTCGGCCCATGAAATCTTCCCCTCCGGCTCAGCTCTGCCACAAGTGGTTGCGGGGGCGAGGGAATCGGCAGCTGGTGGTGGGTGAGGCGAGGGAGCCTCGCGCCGGCTTTGGATTTTTCGTTCTGCCTCGCGACCGACGATAAAAATCGTGCGTCCGATGAGGCCCTTCTCCCCTCATCTCCGGCAAGCCGCGGCGGCGGCGGCTGCTGCGGCCACTGGCGCTCCTCCCCTCGCCGCAGCTCTCCTCAAGGTTTGTCACTTCCGATTCTTTTCTGCCTCATCTTCAACTACCCTTCTTCCTCCACTGACTTATCCTACTTGTCCACAGAATTCTTCTGCTCCCCTTATCCATGGCCGGCTCAGCTTCAGCCACACGTCGCTGCAGTCACCGAACAACCGCGGGAAACGAACAGGTGAGTACCTGAAGAATCACCGAACAGCAAGCTGCAGATTTGAGCGTTTGATGGTTACCTGGAAAATGTGCGAATTGGTGCTTGTTTGTGTCAGGCTGGGCGGTGCGTGTGCTGCCGCTGACGGAGGAGAACGTGGAGATGGTGCTGGACCAGGTGCGGCCGAGCCTGATGGCGGACGGCGGCAACGTGGCGCTGCACGAGATCGACGGCCTCGTCGTCGTGCTCAAGCTGCAGGGCGCCTGCGGCTCGTGCCCCAGCTCCACCATGACGCTCAAGATGGGCATCGAGACGCGCCTCCGCGACAAGATCCCCGAGATCCTCGCCGTCGAGCAGATCGTCGACACCGAGACCGGCCTCGAGCTCAACCACGACAACGTCGACAAGGTCACTGAAATGCTCCAGTAATCCTGCATTTCCAAAGTTCATTAGACAGCAAGTTCATGTTCCAATTTCAGTTCAGACAAATTCAGTAGCTTACTCCTGTGAACTATCACACTGTAATTCTGAAGGTTTTTTTTTTGGGTGTTGCAGGTGCTGGATGAGATCAGACCATACCTTTCCGGCACCGGAGGTGGAAGCCTTGATCTTGTTCAGATTGATGAATCCGTCGTCAAAGTTCGGTTAACTGGACCTGCAGCGGGTGTAATGACAGTACGTGTAGCTGTAACACAAAAACTGAGGGAAAAGATACCATCCATCCTGGCTGTTCAGTTGACAGAGTAGAAACATGAGTTCAGTTATGCAGCAACTCAAGAGAAAACAAAACTTTGATTTTCAGTGATTTTGTGGTATTCAGTCTCAGTCTTGTGGTTTTGAATCAAAACTGAAGTACTGAACGTCTGAACCTATCATACCATCTTTAAATGCAAGTGTTCTGACTAGGAAAAACCAAAATAAATCAGAAGTCTCTTGTCTGTAAGATATAATCCAACAAAACATTCAGCATCTATTAATTCAATGAAGAGAACAACAACCCATTTTACATCAGGTTATCAGAGAATTGTCAGACTTCCAGTGCATTTCCTTGGCAATGAGGCACACCAGGGTCTTCCTGAACCCACTGTTCCACTATTTCCGCCTTCAGCTTCACTAGGAATAGCTGCTAGTGATCTCATGGGGTAAATTATCGGCAGGAATAGTCATGCATTAGACATTAGTGCATGACAAGTACTGTTAATTCGAGTTACTTTTCGATATTCGGTTCCAGTCGTATACACCGAAGTACTGAGATGATCAGTACCAATCTTTATGCAGAAGAATTCTAACCAAAAAAAAAAAGGAAAAGAAAAAAGACCACAGCACTTTGTATGTCAGAAAGATAAATAATTCAATAAAACTTTAAACCAATGTTACTTCATTGAATAGATATGCGTTTTACATCTGTGTATCATAGAATTGTCGGATTTTCAGTGCATTTCCTTGGCAAGGGCAAATGTTCTGATAAAACTAGAAACATCAGCCTCTTCAGTGGAACCTGGCACCACAAAATTCCTATTAGGGTAGTACCAAAGCTCTTCATAATTTCAAGGTTAGCCATATCTATGCTTCTCAAATTGACCACAGGCCAACTCCTTATCCCCATTGTTTTCCTTGCTGATACGAGTTTAGTCATTGCAATATTTCACCCTTTAAAGGCCTTGACATCACAGTTCATCAAACAATTGTATTGGCCTTATTAAGAAATTGAGGCTTGCGGTTTTTATGCAATCAAATTTCACAGGAAACAATTAAAAATGTTTCCTTAAAAATAACCAATCATGGCTTCAGGCAGCCTCTTCATCACATTGATGTTCATCCAATTGGGCTGCCTTCATCATTTGCCTAATCTCCTCAAGCTTTTCGAATTCCCGCTTCCGCTTCAAAAACCCTTCCAAAACCCTAAAAGCTCGTTCTGTAGGAGTCATCCCCATCTCAATCATCTCCCTAAAACACCTGTATGCTTCCAAAACCACACCTCTGCAGCATAAACCAGTGACCAGAACATCCAATGCATGCCGGTGAGGCACACATCCCTTCCCCAGCAGATAATCCCACAGCTCTAGCCCAAGATCTGGTCGTGCATTCTCGCAGAAGACCTTCATAAGCAACATTGTTGTCCTAGTCCTCGGCATGAACCCTGAACCAACCATCTTGCTATACACTTTCCAGATGCCCTCCAAATCCCCAATTCTCTGAAATCCACACAACATTGTATTGTAGCTAACGTCATCCAGACCAATCCCCTTGCGCTCCATCTCGCTCATGACTGTCATCCCAGACTGCAAGTCTCTCGCCCTAACATATGCGCCCATGAGCGCATTGTGAGCGCCACGGTCTGGGGTCACTCCCCACTGCCCCATTTCATCGAAAAGCTGGCGCGCACGTATCGCATTCCTCACAATCCCAGCTCCATAGATCAGCGTGGTGAACACCTGCAGTGTCGGCCTGCAGTTCTCCCGCTTACGCATTTCGTCGAGCAGGTCGAGGGCGTCCAAGAATCTCCCTTTCTTGCAGTAGGCGTCCATCCTCACGCAGTACGACACGGCGTCCGGCACGAAGCCGCGAAGCACGGCGTCATGGTAGAACAGGTCCAGCGCCTGGGCGTTCCCTGCCTCCTTGAATCCGAGCAGCAGCGTGTTGAACGTGCGTGCGTCGGGCGGGTACGCGTCGCAGTACCGGTGGAACAGCGCGCGGGCCTCGGCGACGCGGCCGCGGGCGCAGAACGCGCGGAGCAGCGCGTTGAGCTCGGCGACCCCGAACTCGCGCCCGGCGCGCGCCCACACGCGCGCGGCGGAGTCGAAGCAGGTGACAGCGGCGTCGAAGGACGCGCCCGGGGCGGACGCGGAGAGCGCGGTGGAGAGGAGCACCGCGAGCGCCGGAGTGGAGAGGAGGTGCGGGTGCGTGGGCGGGAGGGAGTCGAGCAGGCGGAACGAGAGGACGGCGTGGCGGCGGGAGCGCGCGAGGAGGCGGAGGAGGGCGGGGAGGGAGGCCTCCGGGACGGGGAAGCCCGGGAGGGCGAGGAGGCGGCGGAAGAGGGAGAGCGCCGGGAGGGGCGGGGAGTGGGAGAGGAGGAGGTGGGAGAGGAGCGGCGTGAGGAGAGGCGGCGAGGCCTGGAGTATCGCGAGGAGGAGCGGCGGGGTCTCCGGCGCGCCGGCGAGGAGGGTGCGCGCGAGGTGGGGCACGGTCGGGGCGAGCAGCGGGCGGGCGGCGCTCGGCGGCGGCGCCAGCAAGAGGGGCATGAGGACGCGGCGCGAACACCTTTCCGATCTGTTGCAAACTTGGAAATTGATTCTACTACTACTAATTTTGCCGATACTCAAGGGGGTTGTACTACTTGTATAACGTTTTCATTCAAATTCGACTAAGTGATTGTAAAATAAATTTGATTAAAAAAATTGGCTGTAGAGTATAGTGACACTGACATCTAACTCGACCAAAAATCATCTTCAAAAGGGTGGTTGCCGGGCAAAAGCCTAGTCTTAGCTCCTTTGAGACCTTGATGGACGGCGACGGCGGTTTTCCGTCGCTTCTGTCCTTGGAGACGTCGTTTAGGCATCCCCTTGCTAAAACCACTCGAGCAATTGGTGCAAGCACGCTCTAGATTCTCATCCTCTTATGACGGTGTCCTAGTTTCTACAAGTTGGCCACGTCGGAGGGCCTAGGGGGAGAGGTGTTCCATCTTCTCTCTCACTCTTTCTCCCTAAATCCGGAAGATGTGGATAGAGTTGGGCTTTGTGTTGGTTGTAAGGGCGTTTTTTTGGGTGATCTCGTCTGTGATCCGTTGTTGGCCTAGCGGCGTCCGGTTACGCTTAGTTACGGCCGGTCTGGTTCTAGCCTTCTTCTGGACCTGTGTGTTGGTGCTGTCGGTGTGTGGGTGGTGGTATATTTTTTTCTTTTTTTTCTGGTTACGACCTTCCTGGGTTATAATCTTGTATTTTTTTTCCTACTCTATTAATAGAACTTCACATCGTCTCGTGCGAGTCGTTCAAAAAAATCATCTTTAAAATCAACGTACATATTAAAGGGAGAAAAACAAATATAGATTGGGCTGTGCACTAGATATACTTTTTTTAATGACTTGAAAATTGGGGTGTTACTTTTTTTTAATTTCTTGATATATGTAACACCCCAATTTTTAAGTCATTAAAAAATACTATATTTTACATAAACCCTAATTACAAAAAGTTGGTTCTCTCTGTGTCATTAAGGAATAAGCGCCAAATATCTCAATTAGATTCCTCCTTAGTACTAAATTCAAAAAACCATATCCGAATTCAAATCTCGAAATTTGAATTTTTGCTATTCAAATTTCCCCTCCGAAATCATTCATTGAATACCTCCTTGTTTAAAAATTCCATCAAAAGCCCCTCTTCCGAAACCCTGGTTCAAAGTTAAGTTCAAAATTTGAATCCAACAAATCCTTTGAATTCTTCTATTTTCCCTTCCTAGCATCTAAGCAAAAATCCTGGACGTCCATCCTCACGCAGTACGAGACGGCGTTCGGCACCTGGACGTAGCGGCGTGATCGAGCGCGGGAGTAGCCCGATCTCCGACTCCGATTCGTAACACAATCCGACTCCAAGTTTGATTCGGTTTCAGCTCATCTCTATAAATTTCACCTGATTTCCAAGCATTCGGCCACCATCTCCGTCTCACTCTCTCGCACATCTCACTCCACTTCTCCTTCCCTCGGTCTCTCTCTCCCTCTCATGGCGTCGCCGGTGAGCTCATGTCCCGCTGCTGCTGCTTCACATCCATCGTCCCACCACCACTGCCGAGGTGTTCGTCCGGCGGCTGGACACAGTTTCTCCCCACCCACACGAATCACATTGGTTCGCTGGACGCCGCCTCGCCACGGTTGGGTCAAGCTCAACTTCGACGGCTCAGTCCACAACGACGGCTCCGGCAGGGCCAGCATCGGCGGGGTCATCCGCGACGACCACGGCCGCGTCCTCCTCGCCTTCGCCGAGCGGACGCCGCACGCCACGATCGGGGTGGTGGAGGCGCGAGCGCTCATCCGCGGCCTGCAGCTGGCGCTCGACCACGGCTGGAACGACCGGCTGCTTGTGGAAGGGGACGACCTGACCCTGGTCCGGCTGCTCCGATGCGAGTCCACCCACACCCGCATCCCGCCGGCGATGCTCGACGACATCCTCTGGCTGCTCGACTCCTTCCGCGTGTGCGAGGTGCAGCACGCCTACCGCGAGGGGAACCAGGTGGCCGACGCGCTGTGCCACGAGGCGTACAAGGCGGCGCCGGCGGCGAGGCTCTGGACGCCCGGCACGGCCATGGTCCCGTTCCCCGTCTGGGAGAAGCTCGAGGACGATCGGCGCGGCGTGCTTCACCAGCGAGTCCGTGCGTGATCACTGATCAGCATGGATTGGCGCAAAGATCGTTTGATCGGAGTCAACTGCAATTGCTGCGCGTGCAAAGATCATCAAAGAAGCTTTTGGATGATGCTGCTGTGGTGTTGGTGACATGGTGATCTATACTGACTCACATCGGAGCTAGCCAGCACAAGAACAGACCAAGAAAAAGAGGAAGAAGAAGCTAAATTGTGACGTTGGTTGATGCGAATGTATGAGAGTTATTGGATCTTCTTGGATTAGCAAAATGGAATCCTCTCCATGATTGGAAGACGAAGGTGGCGACGGTTTGCTCGGAGGTCTCATGGGAGAAGTTCTCACATGGAACAGAGAGAACCAGAGGAGGAAGAAGACCCTTGTTGGAGTCGGCCAGCTGCAGCAGCCGTATGATCGATTCTGAAGTCTGAACGTCACACTGATGTAACATCAATGCTTGTTTACAAAGCATTCAATTCATCCACTTATGTATGAATGTATAATGTATGAGATATTGAATTGAACTGTTTGTCTCCAATTAATTTCTATTGCAATCTATTATATATTAAAAAGTTTATTAAACTTTCTACAAACGCTCCTAGACCGTTATGTGGCACCCTACAAACGGTCCTAAGCTGTCACGTGGAAGAAAACTATATAACCATCGATTTTCATTTAAATTGATGGATCCATTCTTTAAACCGTTAGATTAGAATGAAAAAAAAACCCAATCTACCTCTAAACTGAACCCACCCTATTTGTATGGACGTTTGTATATGTACGTACTCCGTACCATCCTATTATGTTCTTCTCTTTTCACTCCATTATCTCTCTTATTTTTTCCTTCTATTAGTTGGAAAGCAAAATTTATATCTAAACGTTTAAGTAACTATAGTACTTTTTTTAGAAACACAAAACAAACGCAGACACTCACAACATGCACACACTCATCCCCTAAGACGCATACACGGATACCCTACCCCTATGATAACCATCGAAAGCATTTAAATAATACGTGTATTCTTATATGCTTATGTTCTTATGTTGTTAGATTATTTATATAGTATCTAAATCATTTATCATTAAAAAATTTACAGTTAAAAACTCATATTTACTATATAAGTATGTCAATATTATGGATAAGAAAAACTTGAAATTGTAACAACCTATAATTATCTTAAAGAAAAAAAGTTACCTCCTAACATTGGGCCCACCTAGGCATGTATGTACTTACGTATGTTACTTTTTTTAAGGAAAAATATGACCTATTTTCTCCCTGTTACTTCTCCTATTTTCATGTTTTATTAGTTAGAAAAGCAAAAATTATGTTTTATAAAATCTAAATCATATAACTAATTTTGATCCGCTTATATCTTATGACTAAATTTTCGATTGAAGAACAAATTTAACTATAATTCAACTCTGAAAAGAAATGTCATTTTGGGTTTTATTTTTAGACTTTTAATAATAATAATAATAATAATAATAATAATAATAATAATAATAATAATAATAATCGTACATAACTTCATTATTTAAATTAGATTTACAATCAGAAAAGCAAAATGAATATAACTATGAGCAATGCTGCCAAACTTATACTACAAAATAAATAACTATAGCATCTAAATCACGCGATCCATTCATGTCTTTAGATTGTTTTACATTTAGAAACCCATATTCACTGTAATTTAACTTTTCATATGCCACTTTGGGGTTATATTTTTTTTTACTTTACCATGACATTCAAACAATTATGAAATTATGAAAAAAATGATATATATTTTATCGTTCTACGGAGTATATAACTGCACAATAATTAAATTATATCTATAATGATAGAAGTAAAATGCCAAATGCCAAAAGGACTAAATTGAATTATTTGGAGAAAGTCTAATAAGTTCAAAAAAAATAGTTCTTACTTTTTACTAAAATTGGACCAACCTTTGCATGTTTTATTTTCATAACAATTTTTAAATGTTTAGATATTAATGGCCTTACATCTATACTGTACCATACCATAGGACTATGAGTTTTTCCACATATTGTTACATATATAAGAAGCCACACTAAGGTAGCAGTGTATACTAAGTATGTAATAACTTGCGTCAATAAGAACCAACTAAAAGGATGACTAACTTGATTCTACAAATAAAACACATTTACTAATAATAATAGTTTTTTTTGATTTGTTAAAAAAATGACACTAAACATTCAATTAAATAAGACAAAACACCTTACTTTTAAATTAGAAATGGTTTCTAAACAAATTAAATATAGCTATGTACTGAAGAGATCATAGATAATTATTTATAGGGATGTATTAAATATCATATATTTTATAAGCTAGCAAATAGTTTGGAAAAATTATCTAAGCAATGCGATGTAGAAAATTTATTGAGAAATATTGCTTTTCAAACATGGTAGGTATCATCCGGTTGATATCCCATCTATATAAGTTTTCCAAATACAATCTACGATGCGCGAGTTATCTTTCTAGTTGTGTGAAAAAAATCCCCATATCTTCTGCACTTATGCTTGTTGTTAGTAGGTGGGCAGTAATTTTGTGAATTGATCTACGTACGGTTTTAGCTAATGGCTTGTTGAAACTGACACGAATGCCGTGATGTTTATACAATTATACGACATGCTGCACCGCCCGCTGCAATACTAGGGAAACACTGGTGCAAATTAAACCATCAGTTCTTCAGACAATTTCAGATCGATTAACTCCAGATATACAAATCTACTCTCGTTTTACTCCACAAGAACAAAATTATACATACAGGTTGCTCCTCATGCACCAATTAATGTATTTCACTTCTAGCTTACCGATCTGTTCCCTTAGAATTGACATGAAAAAAAATAGCCTCGCTATATCACATTACACACGGTATGATCTGATGACATCGTTCCTAACAGTATCAGCAACACAGTAATTAATTCAGTAATCATCGTAGTCGTCGTCGTTCCTGTTGAGAAACCGCCTGACAGCGCCAACGATCGTTCCGAGCACGATGAACAGCACCAGCGTGTCGAAGCCGCCGCCGACACCGACGGCCACGCTCGGGCCGGGAGCGAAGAACGAGAACGGCGACCAACCGTAGCCGTAGCCATAGCCGTAACCGCCGACCAGAGGCGGCGCCACCGGTGGGTTGATGTAGATGTTCGTCCTGCGCCAATGCGTCACAAAATGTTCAGAGCATCAGCAGCCTTCAGGTTTCAGAAATTGATATATCATGAAGAAAACCATTATCTTTCGAGGTTTCAGACTTTCATTTATCTGTTCATCATCGAGATGAGCAAAACATACAATTGTAACATTCAGTTAAGTCAGATCTTCGTACTGAAAATTAAAAATCAACCAGACTGAATATTCAGAACATTAGCATACAACCTTCAGATATTAGAAACTCGTATCACGAAAATTTTGATCTTTCGAGGGTTCAGACTTTCAGCTGCTCATGATCGAGTTGAGAACGAATTGAGAGATCGATATGAATCAACACTACTACGATGTGAACATTCAGTCAAAATCTGATCGATCTCGTACTGAAAGAAACAACAACTAGCCTGAACAAATCATTGTTTATCCATGGTGAATGTGATGAAATTTTCATTTGACATGGAACCAATCATCGTTTATTACCTCGAATTGTTTATCCGTGGACCAGACGGCCGTGGCGCGGACCGTGGCGCAGACCGGAACGCCTGCCCGCCGACCCTCCCGCCGGACTTGGCCGCCATGGCATCGTCGACAGGCGAGAGCGCGAGCACGCCGGCGGCCAGCGCGACCATCGCCAGCTTGCCAAGCTTCACCGGAAGATCACCCCGCGTCGACGGCGCCTCATTGGCCGCCCTGCACGAGAGCCTCGCCGATGGCCGCCGCCTCGTCGGCTTCGGCGCCGGGAGCACGGCCGCCGTGCTGCCCGCACTGCACAGTGGCCTTCCGGTGAGGAAGCACCGGAGAGACGTGGGTGCTAAAGCCATGGCTGCTACTCGAGCTTTCTTGCGAGCTTAGATTGAGCTTTTGCTCTCGATTCGTCTTCTTTCTCTCAGCTTCGTCTTGGATTGCTGCAGCGAGGAAGAGGGAGAAGAGAACTCGAAGCTTAGGTAGTAGAAGAAGGCTTATCTTGAGATGAGAAAACGACCACGTGGCCAAATGCGAATGGCTTTGGTGAAACGTTCTAGAGCAGAGAGAGATCTTTTGAGCGCTCGTTTTTGTTGCGTAGCTCAACTTGTTTTGAACACTGTGGCTTGGCACGGCTTCGTCCGGTACTTTTTCACTTAAATTTCGTCAATTTATGAAAATAAAATTCATTTTTGCTTGAGTCTTTCTGAAATCTCCAGAACCTTCCATAGAAACAGTCTGCGTTTCAGTCTTTCAGACTGTTGTTTTTACGGTGCTATCGACATTGCGCCTGTTCGGCTGCATTTAACTTTACTTTACAAACAGTAAGTTGAGTCTATAGCTGCAGTAGTAACGGCTGCGTATAGTGGCTGTACCAGCCAGCCGAACAGGCCCATTGTTACTCCCATGCAATGTGAATAAATTTCCGTCTTTTTTTCTTTCAGAGAAAAAAAGGGGAAAATTTCGGGACTGTCTACTCCCTCCGTCCCCCCCCCCAAAGATAACCTTATGTCCAGATTCGTTGTTTTAGGTGAGGTCAAATCTCCACTTAGGTTGTCTCTTTTTGAGCGGAGGGAGTAGCTGACAGCCAGCTGAAAAAATTTTAGTTTGCAGCCGAATTTTCTACCGCAGGATACCCCCACGTGTCGCTCATCCCCTGCCTGTCCTCACGTGCGCGTAGAGCATGATGTGCGTGGTGTACTTGTCTCCGATCATTTTGTTGGGTTAGGTAATTTTTTAAAAGCCCGTTTTGTCATTTCAAAAGAGCCCGGTAGCCCAATAAGTCTACGTGTCCCCCATATGGCCCAGCTTGCTGGATCTGGACTTAATACCCGTTTTGTTTGGCTGAAAATAAGAGGCCAACACAATATACTTACAAAACCTCAAATCCGTTTTGTTTGGCTGAAAATAAGAGGACAACACAAGATGCTTACAAATGCTCACCGCAAAAACACAGGACAAAATAGTAGTTTGCACAATGATCAGGCATATCTGAACAGAAGAATTGAAACAATTCCTAAGAATTGAAACAATTCCTGCTTTTGCACTTTGCACAGTGTGAAGTAACAGCAAACCAAAAAACAGAAACTTGAGCCATGAAAGCGGTAGCAGGAGCACAGCTGTGTGAATATGCTTATCTTTTCAGTTAGTAGTCATTACCAAGTTTGCATGACGTCCATGCCACTTCACATATAATCTGTAGAGAAGAAATAGATACCTCTTGATCTAACAACGTTCACTGATGTATCATGTCAATAACTGTCTTGGAGCAAGTTGAACAAGTGTATTTGTATAATCCAAATAACCACGAATTATTTAAGTCTCCATGGGGCTTCAACATAAAGTTGAAACAAAAACAGCTACTAAGATACAAAGTCACTAAGCTCTCCTATAGAACAATCTAGGATCTTATCAGCGAAAAATACAGGTAAACTATGTTACTTATATACTTATTTCTAAAATTGCTAATTAGGTAGGAGAAACCATGTTACTCCTATGTTTTCTCTTGCCGACAGTCAGATATAGCTGAAACATATGGGTTGGTGTAGCTTAGGGACAAATGGTCCTAACTTGATGCTAAACTTAAGTATATGGTAAGACAAAACATAAAATCCTAGATCACTTAAAACAATGGTCAAAAGGCATTTAATTTCAGCTTATTGATTGCCAAGACCAAGAAAAGGACAGTACAAACAAGATCTGCAACCACTTATTTTTGATATAAGATTGTTTATGACAAAAACATGGACTAAGAATTGAGAGATTTTTATGGCAAGCAAACAGCGGCATTAAGAACGATTTCAAGTGGTTAGGCTATGACCTAAATAAGCGATAAACTGATTAATATGTACCAAATTATAAAAATCTAACAAAGACAAAAACAAAATATTGACAAAAACAAATACAAAAACAAAGACAGAGAAATAAATGGATTTGCGACCACTTATTTTTTGACAACAACAAAATATAAAAATACAAATATGACAAAACCACTTATTTTTAGAAGTTTTAAAAAATGACAAAAATACAAAATTGACACTGGTCTGAACAGAAACTATGCTCATTTCTGATGATGAATGTAATGCCACAAAATTATAAACAAAATCAATCAGGACTCACGGAGGGAGTCGCTATCACGCTATGCCTGCCTTGATGACTGTTGTAGCCGCGCTGACCTGTGCCAAAGAGGCATTGATTTTGGCGCTGAGCAAAAAAAAAAGCAAATATTTTGGCACACAACAGACATGTAGGAGTATGAGTTTAGCTCTTCCTCAGAAGGTAATGAGACCTACTAAAGGGGCTAGAGCTACACATCGTTCAAATCTATCTATTATATTATTAAAGGAATAGAAAAAGGAGACTCCACGTTCGCTCTCATGGTCTAGAAATTCTCACATTAATCGGAGAAAAAGAAAAGACAGAGTACATATAGAAATACAATTTAAAAATAGCTAAAATTCGGAATTAAAGAATAAGGAATATTGGACGAGGAGACTAGAGTCCATATAGAAATACAATTAGGAAATAACTGAAATTCGGAATTATAAAAAAGGAATATTAGAAGTAGAGTATAGAGTTCATATAGAAATACAATTAGGAAATAACTGAAATTCAGAATTAAAAAAAAAAGAATATTAGAAGTAGAGTATAGAGTACATATAGAAATACAATTAGGAAAAAACTGAAATTCGAAATTAAAAATAAGGAATATTAGAAGTAGAGTATAGAGTACATATAGAAATACAAATAGGAAATAATATAAATTTAGAATTAAAAAATAAGGAATATTAGAAGTAAAGTATAGAATCCATATAGAAATACAATTTAGAAAAAAAATAGAAATTCGGAATTAAAAAATAAGGAATATTAGAAGTAGAGTATAGAGTCCATATAGGAATTTAAAACTAACTAAAATTTGAAATAAACATAATAAAATTAAAAGTAGAGTTTAGAGTATGTATAAAAATACAATTTACAAATAAGTAAAATTTGAAATTAAGAAAAACATGGGAAGAAGAATTTAAGGTCAATATAGAAATACAAATATAGAAATACAATTTAGAAGTAACTGAAATTCGAAATTAAAATTAAAAAATATTGAAAGATGAGTTTAGAGTCCACATAGAAATACAATTATAAATAATAAAAATTCATAAATAAAAATAAATAATATTGGAAGAAGAGCATAGAGTCTATATAGAAATACAATTTACAGAAAATTTGGAATTAAAAAAAAGAAATATTAAAAGACGAGTCTAGAGTCCATGTAGGAATATATATAATTTACAAATAACTAAAATTTGATATTAAAAATAATTAATAACTAACATTTGTTATATTATTAAAACAGCTTTGAAAAGAGGCACCGCGTTCGCTGTAAGGGCTAGAAATTCCCACATTAATCGGAGAAAAAGAAAAAAAAGAAAAGGAGAGACCAAGTAGAAATACAATCTAAAAATAGCTAAAATTCAGAATTAAAAATATGCAATATTTAAATAAGAGTCCATATAAGAACCCAATATGAGATTAATCAAAATTCGAAATAAAAAATAAAATAAAATCCGAAATTAGAAAAAGAATAGAGTCCAAGTAGAAATACAGTTTAAAAAATAGCTGAAATTCGGAATTAAAAATAAGCAATATTTAAAGAAGTTTCAATATAAGAATCCAATACGAGAGATTAATCAAAATTCGAAATACAAATAAAATAAAATCCAAAATTAAAAAAAAGGATAGTCCAAGTAGGAATACAATTTTAAAATAGCTAAAATTCGGAATTAAAAATAGGGAATATTAGAAGAAAAGTCCATATAAGAACACAATACGAGATTAATTAAAATTGGGAATAAAAATAAAAATAAAATCCAAAATTAGAAAAAAAAGAAGAAGAGTTCAAATAGGAGTACAATTTAAAATTAGCTGAAATTCGGAATTAAAAAAAATAATATTGAAAGAAGAATCCACATAAGAACCCAATATGTGATTAATTAAAATTCAGAATAAAAAATAAAATAATATCCAAAATTAGATAAATTAAAAGAGAGTTCAAGTAGGAATACAATTTTGAAACAACCGAAATCTATATTATTATAAAAATTGAAGATGTTTTTGCCGGTATCAAAAAAACAGAAAAAAAAAACTTCTATCTAAAAAAACGACCGACTCCTCCGGTGGAAAAAAAAGAAAAAATGAGAAAAAGAAATTCTATGTTAAAAAAAAACGTCCGACTCCATAAAAAAGTCCGACTATCTGTGGAGAAAAAAGGCAAGAAAAAATAAAAAAAGAGAAAAAAAACTTCTACCGTATAAAAAAAATAAAAACGACCGATTCCTCAAAAAAAAGTACGATTGCCTCGAAAATGACTTTTTGTCCGTAATCTTCTCTTCTCTTCTACTTCTACTTTTTTTTTTGAAAAAACCTCTACTATTATGAAAAATTTAAGATGTTCTTTTGTCGGTATTTTGGTATGTCATCCGTGTATGAGTCGGTTTATAAATTTGTTCGCTTTTGAAAAAATATATATCCTTTGAGTTGATTCTTAAGTTCGTCCGCTTTTGGAAATATAGGAGTCGTATAAAAAAATTCGCATGCTGACTTTAGACGAACAGACTCCTAACCGCAGCTTATGATTTTATAGAAATATATAGATCCAAGCGAATTCTCACAGTGAATTAAGACTAAAATAGTTGTCATCCGTTGCAGCGCACGGGCTTTTCTCTTGAAAATAAAAAATAAAAATATTAAAAGAACACAATACGATATTAATTAAAATTTAGGAAAAATTTTTATAAAATTACAAAACAAAAAATAACTTTTCAATTTATAATTAAATAAAATTTATGATAAAAATAAAGACTATTGAAAGAAAAGACCATCTAAAAGACCTGACGAGATAAATTAAGTAATAGGCCTATAGTAGAGTAGAGTGGTGGCGGTTGATACAACATATAAAAACTGTTAATAAAACACCAAATAGAATCCTAATAACGATTAAAAGGAGGGACGGTAGGAAGGCCGTGAAGCAAACGAACAAGGTGATTGTCGGGACTTCT